GCAATTGAGAGCATAACAGTTGCAATTCTTTGCCCCATATTTAGGGGCGCACACGGGGTAAACATAAGTGAGCTAGTCTACCTTTTTCGAAAACATTATTCAATGAATACGTGAATTACAGCTATGAAAAATGTACAGGGAAATTTATTAGGAAATGCTGTCTAGTGGAACTTCTCTCCTCTACAATAAATTTCACCACGAGAAAAAAGGTGATAGCAGATAAAAAACGAAATCAGAGTTAATGACCTTCTTGAACCAATTTCTTGTAGGCATCTAAAGTCAAGAAGTCCTTCAGATTTTTATCGCTAACGAATTTGAACAAAAGATTCGTAGCATCATCCAATCGATTGTGACTTTGAAGCTTTGTGATCCATTTGGCCTTTTCTTCGTTGATCACGTTTTCAACCATGTTAAGATCAACTGTGCGACCGTCGTCAAGTTGTGCGTTATGGTGCACCCATTGCCAAATTTGAGAGCGACTGATTTCTGCGGTTGCAGCGTCTTCCATTAGATTGTATAGAGGTACACAACCTGAAAGAATATGAAAACTTTTATGGTGATGACAGTCGTAATGTCATCATTGATTAGCTTCTTACCAGTTCCACGCAACCAAGCTTCCAAGTAACCCAATGTAACATTGATATTATGTCGAAGTCCTGCTTCTGTTCTGCTACCCAAAGGAATCTCAATCAAACTCGCTGCCGAAGGATTTACATCGGGTCTGAGACGATCGACTTGATTTGGTTTTCCATTTAAAGTAGCTGCGAATGCTTCGATTGCGATGCCAACAAGACCTGGATGAGCAACCCACGTTCCATCGTGACCTTCGTTAGCTTCTCGAACTTTGTCCTAACCGCACTCATAAGATTTATCCAAAGCTTCTCGGAACTTCACTTACTTCTCGCACGGCCTGCAAAGCTTTGGTATTCTCTTCTGCATTTGATTTGATCGGAATTTGTGCTGCCATTCCTCCCATTGCATGAGCTCCTCGTTGGTGACAAGCTTTTATCACGGAACGAGAATAGTTTCGCATGAATGGTGTTGTCATTCGAATCTCCGAGCGATTTGGAGTTAAAAATCCACGATGATTCTGGAAGGCCTTGATGTACGAGAAAATATAGTCCCAACGACCGCAGTTTAGACCGACGATATGGTCACGAAGAGAATATAAAACTTCATCGATTTCATAAGTCAACAGAATGTGTTCGACCAGAACGGTTACCTATAAACACGATTTTGAAAGAAAACACACAGTTGCTTATTTTTCACGGAAGAATTTTAACGAAACTGTACTTTAATGGTTCCTCGAGGTATTTTCAGATAATCTTCCGCAGCGTTCAAAACTTCATTCCAAAGTTCAGCTTCGTGGTAGTTTTCCATTTTCGGAAGATAAAAATATGGTCCAGTACCGTTCCCAAGTAATTTTCTTGCATTATTGAAAACATAAACACCGAAGTCAAAGAGAGATCCAGACATTGGTTCGCCATCGATTTGAACGTGCAACTCAGGTAAATGCCATCCTCTTGGTCGAACCATGAGAACTGCTGGCTTCGGGCCTTGAAAAAAAAAACATGTACATTAGTCAAACGATGATCCGAAATAATTTCTTACCAACTTTATACTGTTTTCCACTTTGCGCATCTTCGAAAGAGATTTCACCGCGAATTGCATCATACAGATTTTTCTGACCTTCGATTAAATTTCTCCATGTAGGTGTTGTCGAATCTTCGAAATCTGCCATATATGTCTTCGCCCCTGAGTTTAGTGCGTTAATAACCATCTTCCGATCGCATGGACCAGTTATCTCAACTTGACGATCTTGAAGATCCTTGGGAGTTCCTGCAAGCTTACTGCATAAGAAATACTTTAAGCAATTGTAATATGTTTACCTAGAATTTTCCAGTTCGTTTTTTTAATATCTCCGGTCGTTGTTAGAAATTTCGGACGTTGTCCTGCATTTAAAAGAAGTTGTCGGGTCTTTCGAGCTTCTAAGATCTGTTGTCGTTTTTTCTCAAATCGACGATGTAAACTAGCCAAAAACTGGATCGTTTCTGTACTGATTACTTTCTCATCACCTTCTTCTAAATCCATGGTTAGTTGTACTGAACTGTCCTGAGATACATTCTGCTTCATTCTATTAAAGATGAACCGATTTAATACATATTCGTTTCGTTTATTTTTATTAGATTTTTATACAAATAGAAAATACAAGTTCAGTTTCGAGCGTTCACACTTCTGAATGACAATTTTCTGATATGTGAACTTACTGCATAGCAGCTCGCGCGATAGCTGGTTCCGTTGCTGGTTGTACAGAAATTTGTGGAAGACCATATGGAATAGGTTCTGCCTCTTTCGTGAATTGTGCGGCCTCAGTGGATTCAGATAAGGCAAGTGTGCTTGATTTTCCTCCTAAAAGATTTTCATGTGTTACTTCTCTATCGTCTTGTCAAAGTTTTAAATCTTTTCTCTTTAACTCAATCGAGAAAACTCTTTACCTGTAACAGCCAGCATCACCGTATCGAAATATCCAGTTCCAACTTCACGTTGATGTCGAACAGCCGTATAACCATGTGGTTCCGATTTAAATTCCGCTTGTTGCAATTCAGAATAGGCAGACATCCCGTAATCCTTGTACTTTCGAGAAAGTTCAAACATTCCGTAGTTAATCGAATGAAATCCGGCTAAGGTAACGAATTGAAATTTGTAGCCCATGGCACCGAGTTCAGCCTAGAAACGATTAAGCAAATTCCAATAATTTGAAATACAAGTCATTGAAGCTTACCTGGAATTTGGCAATGGCTTCGGGACTCAAATTTGCTCGCCAGTTGAACGATGGAGAGCAGTTATATGCCATCATCTTTCCTGGAAATTCTTTCTGGATCGCTTCTGCAAATACTTTCGCATGTTCCATATTCGGTGTCGAAGTTTCCCACCAAAGAAGATCTGAATATGGTGCTGCACTGAGACCGCGTTTGATACAATGCTGTAATCCTGATCCTTGTTTTAGTCGAAAAAAGCCCTCGGCAGTTCGTCCAGCCAAAGTATCGATAAATTCACAATCGCGTTCGTCGATATTCGATGTTAAAAGTGTTGCCGATTCTGCATCTGTTCGACTGATGATCACTGTTGGAACACCACAAACATCTGCAGCCAAACGAGCTGCACTTAGATTTCGTACATGAGCATTGGTTGGGATCAAAACCTAGAAATTGCCAGATGAATTTGTCTCAGTTAATAGTCCGTATGTTATTACTTTTCCTCCCAAGTGTCCGCATTTCTTTTCCGAAGCCAATTGATCTTCGAAATGCACACCAGCTGCACCAGCTTCGATGTAGGCTTTCATAATTTCAAAACAGTTCAATGGTCCTCCGAAACCAGCTTCAGCATCGGCAACAATCGGAACAAACCAATCTCGTGACAAGTTACCCTCAGCATTTTCTATCTGAGAAGCACGTTCTAGAGTTTTGTTCACTCGACGAACCATTTCCGGTCCTGAGTTTGATGGATACAGACTTTGATCGGGATACATTGATCCCGCTGTATTTCCATCTGCTGCGATTTGCCATCCTAAAAACACAAACATATCATTTTACATCATCGTTCTGTTTATACAAATTTCACTCTCAATTGAAAACTTTTCGGTTCAAGGAGAGACAACTTACCGGACATGTAAATTGCGTTCAAGCCGGCGCGAACCATTTGCATAGCTTGATTTCCTGTAATTGCTCCAAGTGAATTGATATAGGGTTCTGTATGTAATAACTTCCATAATCTGTTCGCTCCATTCGTCTAAACATAAGAAAAATTTCAAATCAATATCTATTCGATGAATTTTTTATTCACGTTCTACACTCTCGCTTGAATATGAATTAAAACTAGATATTTCTCCTATCAGATTCAAACGATTTTCGCTGCGAGATTCGAAAAAAAAAACATTGAGGTTATGTACCTAATCGTATTTATCTAAGAGTATTACTCAAACCGAAAGAAAGAAGAACGCTTTCTTAGTCACAATTTGTTTTATAAAATACTCACTGCTAATGTATACTCGATCTCCACGCCACTTCGTAGTTGACGAACAATTTCAGGCCCATAAACTCGTTTGATTCCATCCCATCGACCAGCCGGTACCTTTCGTATCAGATCATAAAATGCCTTGTTCATTATGCTGTTGTTTTATAACGAAGTGAGTATAGCCAGATATTGATATTCGTGCGTATGATTTTGTAATGCAATTGTTTTCTATCGCAGTACCAAACACTGAAAAATACGTATATTCATAGCTTACTTATATAGTGACCGATGAGCGTACTTTTTTTTGGTATTCTATTCTCATCTGTCGCATACATTGATCTCGTCGTTTCTGGATAAAAATAGAAGCTCGGCCGTTCTTATCTTTTAACGTTCTCTTTCTCTTATTTTCGTATCGTACGTGCCCCGTGCTGTACCTTTTTTTTTCTCGTTCTGTCTGTATGACAAAATATTAGGCCTTGATTTATGGACTTTCCCTCAATTAGATAGTGTAGATGGCAAAAGGAGCAAAGTACTCCGCTTCGTAAGTACAGTGAACTTTCGATGCTTCTTCTAGAGTATTTTTTTTATATTGCGACATTCTAAAAGTGAGGTCGAAGTACTAAACACATTCGTATGTAAGACAATATATCCGGTCGTACATTTGTACTGAATCATGTTTATTTGGAGTTTGGAGCCAGTGTGTATCGGTTAAAAGTACGCACGTCAAGAAAAGTACTGAAACAAGCAAAACAACTGTATAATATATACAGAATAAAAGGTACAGATGAAACATCGCACAACGAATTACATGCGCTTGTTATTGCCTTTTCAACTGTCGATTCGTATCGGTGAATATCAGATTTGTCTTTTTATTTCTTTCAAGGTTTCTCATTTGCCCTCATTGAACCAGAACTTCATGATAAGAATGCAAATCTGTTCGAAGATTAGTAGCATTCAAAAATATTTTATTTAACAAAAGTCATCAATTAAGCGAAATGAATATCGTGACATTTTAGCCAATATTCGCTATTGAATAACGAGTGCTTCACATCCCATGATCTAGAAGAATAGTTTATTCACAATCATGATTCATTTCTCAAAAATAATATTTTACTTTTCAGAAAGCGAGTTTCGATCGATAATTTTGACGATACATAAACGCTCGTCGATTTTCAGTAACAATCGATCATTTAATATCCCCACAAATGGATACAACTCCTTCTCAATGAATAATTTCGCCATTTGTTCACCATTTGAAACTCGATACATTCGTAACAATCGATCCGAACAGATCACAAATAAATACTGTTCATCACTATCACTTGGATTAGCGTTACTTAGACAGAACGTTTCACACGCACCAGTAGCGTCATCCAATTGAACAACTTTGCGTGATTTTGTTACTAAATTGTATATAATTATCACTGGACGATCTATCGAATCATAAACAAGTAAATTATCTTTTATGATTAATTGATAAGCATCATCCAGTTGTGTGAATTTGTCGTTCTCTTTGTGCCAAATAAAGATTTGATTATCGGTATTATGAAAGACGAGATGCTCCTGGAATGAATACATTTGCAGAACTTTACTTGAATTTAATCGTATGGTTGATGAGCGAATTTTCAATGTTGAATTGACGAGATTGTACTCGAAGAGATGAGTTTGATCTTTCGATAGAATGAATAACCGATCGTCGGATTCGCTTAATGTACTTGTCGAACAGTCCATCGCTAGTTGAATGAGAATTTTGATTTGAAACGCTTTCGTATCGATTTGAAAGACTTGTTTAGTTTGCGAACAGAATAGAACGAATGACGATTGGAGTGAATGGATCTGAATATTTCGATGTTGAAATTCATTTGTTGTCCAAGTTAATTTCTTTGTTTCCATCGAATAGATCGCTAGAAGATTCTTCCGATCAATAACTAACGCGTGCGATGAAGATTTCGTAAAATAGCATTGTTTCACCGATGGAATCGATAGATGTAAATCAAGTTTATTCATTTCATTCAACGTGCAGATCTTCAAATCTTGATCGTTATCTGTGTAAGTTAGAAATCGATCTAAGTGTATTCTTGGCCGTTGACGAATTACTTCTGATGAAACGAGAGTTTTCAAACCCACGAGACAAGATAACATCGTCGCACTGTATTTGTACAAATCCTTTCCATCTGAACAATACAGTGTTATACCTTCGGGATTCTCTGAAATCGATGATTAGAAAGGAATATATGTCAAGTGTATCAATTACCCGCTTCGAAAACGCAATGATCGATGTAAATATCCAATTGAACATGACTGAGAAGATAAGATACATGTTTCTGTTGTTTTTTGTCATAAAGCCATTCATAAATATCCACGATACTTTTATTTCTGTTAATACAAGCTGAAAAGGAAAAGCCACATAGAAGTTTTTTTCAATGTGACAAAGCAAAACTCACCTATAAGATTTCCTAAACCGCCACTAAACGCATGTGAATTGTAATTATCATGAATCAAATCATATTCACTCGAAGATGTCAAACAAAATGGCTGAAAAATTTTCTCTTTACACAATGGGTTGAGTATCATCACTGATGAGGGTGTCAACCAGCCAATCGAATTGCTATTCGGAAGATGGACGACCGAGTCGGGTAACGAATGAAAATCGATATCGTTGTGAACTTCGATTGGATTAGTTTCGCGATGTATAGTTAATAAAATTTTGGAGCTGTCGAGTGAATAGAAAAATTCGATGTGTAAGTCAAGGAGGATGCAATGTTGGTAAGAATTCTTGTCTCGGTGAACCGTTCGAATGAATTCGAGTTGACAATTCTTATTGATTGTAAAATAAGACATCTTTGAGCTTGATTTGAACGTCAGTTTCAAATCGTTTTTCTTCAGAAAATAATCCTCGATGATGTCGTCGCCACAATCATATTCAGATATTAAATTATTCTCGGCACAGTTCCAAATCTGTAAAGTGTGCTGCGATGATGAAATAATCAGAATGATATCCTTCTTAATAAATGAAATCAATCGATGACACGGGATTTGCATCGTTGTCTGTTTGGTCGAGACATTCTTTACGATCATTTCCGAACTTGATGTTAAACAGCATAGACACTCGCTGTAATACAAAGCCGAGATAATCTTTTCTTTCAAGTCTTTCTTCATATAGGTGATTTCGGACTGGTTGTATATTGTTCGAAAATGATTCTGAAACTGAAACATTCGACTGTCGTCGGTGACAACCAGCAGAAAAAAATTAGAAATTTTCGAGTAGATCACGTGTCCTAATGGACATTTCAGGAGATATTGTGGTCGTTGATCGTCTGTTATCAATAGAAGTGGACACACGAGTAGACATTGATCGAGTAAATTGTACAGATTTGGACTTAAGTGCTCTCGGAAAGGAAGTAATCGATAGACTAACTCGAATGGAAGGTTCGAAGGATGCGGATTGAGTATATCGATCAGCATTTCGAATTGNGGTTAATCCTAATTATGGTTTTAGCATGACAGATAAAGTGCGTGATGTCATTAATAATATGAATATTACTACGTACTTTAACATGTTGGCTATGTTGATGAAGGTGAGTGATGCAACTGGATTAATATATCATTGTCAGCTCAGCTGAGAGTATCATCGAGATGGAGCTATTAGACTAGAATGTAAATAACTACTGCTACTATTAGAACTTTCATACCAAGCGTTTCATAGTTTCTTCAGCATTATTTTACGCAATTTTTATCGTCTTTGTAGGATAATCCACCTGCAAAAGAAGATGCAGGTATCGTAAAAAAAATGGCTCAGCTCGGCATTATTCCTGGTGAAACATTCAATTGGAACAATCTGAGTCGTAAACTTCAAAATGCCATCAAGCCAGTTCCTAAACTTGCTTTTCACAAAATCATATCTTTCGAAAGTAAATCTGGCAGAAATCAAAACGGTTGGATATTTCCAAAAATTCCTAACCACTATGGTACTAATTATCTTCTCCGCGCATTCATTGCTGCTTATGGATGGCCAGGTAACCTGCCCGACGATGCTATCTATCTATACACTAATGTCGATTCAAATGGAAAGAAGTTGTCAGGAAGATACAACTATACGCTCCGTTTTCCAAAAGATCAAACACCGCCTATCAAAGCATTTTGGTCCATTACTATGTACGACCCCGAATATTTCTTTACACCCAATGCATTAAACAAATTTACATTGAGTCCTCGAGATCCATTGATTTACAATACCAAAGATGGATCACTTGATCTTTATTTTCAGCACGTGGCTCCTGAAGAAAGCAAACAATCTAATTGGTTGCCAAGTCCTCAAGGCAATTTTGTTCTGATGCTCCGAATGTATTGGCCGCAGATACAAAATTCATCGTGGACAGTTCCACCTGTGAAGAAGGTATAAAATACAAGATATACGAGAGGAATGCCTTGAATGTACATTTATTTGATTGCTGTGTCGATAATATCATATTAAAACTTAGATGAAATATTCTGATGTAGTTACTATTGATAGAATTAGTCCATATTAAATTTTTCCTGTGTTTTCTATTCTAATAAAGACTAGCTTCAAATTACGAAAATAAATAATAGAATAGCATCTCCAATAGATTTTGTACATAAAACTGCTACAATGAATTAGAGTTTATTTAAATAAAGCTTTTGATTAACAAGAGAATTTTACGTTAATGTACTTTCTGTGGTGTATACAATTCCGCACTACTGTAGAAGTCATAACCATTACCATATCCGCCGGTAACTAGTACTTTGCCATTCTTAAGCGTATTTTGTGTATGGCCAGCTCGGGAATAATTCATGTTGTCAACAGCTGTCCAATTACCTGTCAATGGATCGTACACTTCAGCACTACTCGAACTATGAAGCGAGCCCTTGTCTGCGCCCGCAACAAGTACTTTGCCATCTTCTAGCAGGGATATAGTAGATTCGTCTCGTTCATGTGTCACGTTTCCAGTCAGTGTCCAAATTCTGGTTGATGGATCATACAATTCAGTAGTTTTATGGTCACCATAGCCAGGTTGCCATCCACCGGCAACCAAAACCTTTCCATTTTTCAATACAACTGAAGCCTGATATATGCGAGGATAATTCATGCTAGCAGTTAATGTCCATTTTTCTGTCAGGGGATCATACAACTCACAATTATTGAAATTTTCAGTAACAGGAGATCCACCAATAGCTAATACTTTTCCGTTGTTTAATAATACTGCAGTATGCTGGCTGCGTGTGTGATTCATGCTGCCAGTCACTGACCAACTATTTTTCACTGGATCGTATATTTCGCAGCCGTTAGTAGTACTAAAAGTATCATTATCACCGCCAACAATTAATACTTTACCATTTTTTAGAAGAGTTGCTGTATGCCAGATGCGTTTATACCGCATGTTTGGGATTCTCTTCCATTTTCTTTCTGATGGATCAAACAACTCAGCAGTATTTAAATAGTTCACGGTCTGATCCTGTCCACCGGTAATTAACACTTTTCCATTCTCCAAAACAGTCTCTGTATGCCAACATCGTGAGGCACTCATACTCTCGGTCAGTATCCAATTTCCGGTCACTGGATCATACACTTCCGCACTGTTTAAAATGCAAATATAGAACACATCAATGTCCGATTTTTCCTTCAATCATTCAAGCTCTCAGTAAAATAATACGTACTCTGCATAGTAGTCAGATCCACCAGCAATCAATAGCTTTCCATCTTTCAATAAAGATGCAGTATGGTATATACGTACTCGATTCATGCTCTTTATGTTAGACTATTCTGAAAAATACTAGTCAAAATGCTTCTTTACTTTTGCACGCGCGAACACAACTCACTGGAAGGCACAGCATTTATGTTATCCAAGTTTACTGGAACACAATTAGCTAAATCGATCATTAGCATCAACGTCAACGCAAACGCAAAAGCTGTTCAGACAAAAATACGATAGATATGTAATTGTTGCTTTTGTTGTCGCGACTTACTGTATATTTGACGGTTGCGCATCTTGCTCTTTCTTCTAACTGTTGTTAGTAAATCAACTGTGTAGCACGAGAAAGGTTCTCTTTTTATCATGTTGGAGTCGATGAAATATTGTTATCTCTTTTTAAACAAATTTTACCTAATCGTGCAAAAAAGTACACGACTGCTCTAATTTTTTCACTAGGATCTATGTCAAAATGCTATTATTCAAAACGCATCTTTCTCATTGACTTAATTCATTCGTCGTACACGAAAATGATGTCGATATCATGTAAATACAATAATTCGCTAAGATGGTTGTTTAGTTTAATGATTTCGTATTTAAAAGAAAAAGAATATTCCTGAATGTATACAATATCGAAGTATCGCAGAAGACTTGAAATTATTGTTTTAAGGATCATATTAAGCTTTGTAAATAATTCTCAGGTACGGCAATGCTTGACCGAAACGATAAATGATATATTCCGTATATTTAAATTCGGTTCCTCGTACCGAATGACAACCTTTTGGTGCTGCAACCAAGTCATTTTTCGTTTTTGCCTCTATTGATTCTTTGCCTAATGTAACTTTGTTATAAAACATCACACGAGTCTGATCGCTGCCTTCGGGCTCAGTATAATTATGCGATTTCCGTGGATCATCTGCAAAATAAGCCCCAGCACCTAAACAAAACAAAGGTATTGCCTTCGTTGCTGTATTTTATACACTTACCCCATGCTCCTGTCGAACTAAAAAATCGATCATCAAAACCGTTCTCTAAAATACCTTTCATTCCATTGACTTTCGTTCCATGAAACAATTTCTGTTCGTTCGGGTTTGCTCCTTGGCATTCCTTCGCAATCATTTTTTTAATTGCTACGTATGTATCTTCAAGAAGTGGATTTTTAACTTCTTCAATCGATATAATGCGAACAAGTGGACTGATCTTCTTCATTTCATTTTCTAATGATTGATACAATGGTGATCTGCCTGGAAGTGGTATGAGAACTGAGTAGCAATGCGGTGGTGGCGATGGATTGACATTAATTGGGTCACCGTACTGTTTCCAACCGCGTTGAACCATTTTCTCGATGCGATCTTTAACAATTCGATCGATTGGGCGAAGAACTCGAAAGCGCCTTTCCATAACATTTTCGACGATTGACTCTAAATCAATTGAATACGGCGATTGAGTGACATTAATACGCATTCCGAGTTCGCGTGGATAATTTCTCTCTATTGAAAGATTGCTAACGTCAAGATCAATACGATCATGAGTTAATGCTACATGAGGCTCAATAAGATCCATTGTGAATGGTCCAGTTGGAACGTCTTCGTCGATTAACACAATATACCTCCATTTCTGCCGAAATACTTTGCAAATAATATCAAATTTGTGTAAACGATCTTGAAATTTCTCCATATCAAAGTATTTGTTTAAAGGTAAGTGACAATCTAAATCAGATGGGACAATCTCTTTTTTAATACCAGGAATATCTTGTCCTTCTTCACCAGGTCGATATTCAATCCATGCCTTTGGATCATTCTGTAAATTTATTGGTACAAATGCTTTATTTCCAACGACCCAATCGCGAACAAAACCACCTTCTAACTTACAATGAAATTGACAGACGGCGATCCATGCTACAACTTCCATACGTGATTCACGCGTAGCCGTTTTCCTTTTGACTGCTTTATAAAGCTCAACAAGTGTTCGATTTGGATCCGCAATGCAGGCGATATTTTTCTCAATGTGAGGATATTTACTACGTACTTTTGGTTGAAGTAGACGTGGAAGAACACCTAAGATAAACAATGTTCGAATAAAGAAGAATTGAGAAGTCTAGGATCTTACCGGAATTCGGATGTCGAATAACTACACATCGCTTCAACCAATCTCCAAACCGATCGAATTCTTTTTTCACATTCTCTTGTTCAGAAAGTCGTCCTTCAACTGTGATGTCACACGTTTTTGCCGCGGGATTATTATCGACGGTGATTTTCATTTGTTTCTCAGCTTCCCATCTCCATTGTATCGGTTGAAAAATGTAAATCATTTTCGTCACGCTTTGAAGATTGCGTGCCAAATTCTCATACTCAGTAGTTCCTTGTCCACAGCGATTTTCTAATTGAAAGGTTCTAGTAATGATTAACTCTGAGCGTAATTGAATTTCGTCGTTGAAAACAATTCCAACTCGATTTTTCAAAACATACGCAGGTTTGTTTTGTATCCAATTAGCAATCGTTGTAACAACCGACCGAATTTTTGTAAGAGCATTTCCATTTTCTAAGTGATTTTTTTCGTCGGTCGTCAAAAGAAAATGCCGTTCTAATTGTTGTTCAATCCACGATGGTTTAAGTTCACCCACAAAAGAAATAATCGACGTTGAACGAGCAGCCGAAGTATATAGCACATCTCGTGATAAAACTAAACGTACAGGTACATGAGTAATCGGTTGCGTCAATGTTGATTTTAAATCAAGTATAGCGATGTCATTTGTGTCTCGATATCGACCAAATTGATGCGTTCGTTCTTGAATTTCCTTCATTGAAACAAAAACATTATCTCCATAGCCTTCTAGCAAAGCTTTGGCGATCGATCTCCAATTTCCTGATCGGATCTGTGACTGTTGACGAAATTGTTGTGACTTGTTGAAGAGTTTTTCTAAATTCTCATATCTTCTCAGAGCTTGCTTGAGAATATGTCGAATTTTGTCCAATTGCTTTTGTTGACAAATTAAATCCAAATCGATCTTTTGTCCCGTGCTCGATTGCTTCACCAAGAGAATTCCATTCATAACATTTAACAGAGTCATAAAGTCACCATCAGGACTTTTCATCGCTGGCGGAATATCTTTCAATATTGATGCTGTATTCAAGCAGCCTAAAATCGACGAAAGACAAATCAAATCACGCCCACAATCGTATTGCGTGAGAGCTGCTAAAACCGATTTGGACATCGCTATGGAATTGAAGTCAGGTAATTGGGCCAGAGCTCGACCATGCGGAGTAAATCGTTCGCCTGTCAGCGTCCTTTCTAACACATCTATAGTAGAGAACAGTACACTTATAGAGATAATAATTCTTATACTAACCGAGTCGAACGAGTTCTTCTACAATGGCGTCGAGAGCGTTGGTATCTGGTTTATCAGGAAAATACTGCTGCATGTAGTGCAAGCCGCGTCCGATGGTCGAGCGTCTGAGAATAAAATCGATATTTGTTAAATCTAATTGGCAAATTTGTGGAATTGGAAAAGGTTGTGCTTCAACTTGAAAGTCATATAGAGCATAATACTCCCCATTTTGAGTTCGTCCCAACCGGCCCAGTCGTTGTTTGATCGTTGATTCAGCAGCTCGAACTTGTTTCAAAACAGTTCGCTTCATCTTCGGATCATAAATTGGTATGTTAATCATTCCAGTGTCAACAACATATTTTAACGATGGAAAAGTCAATGAAGTTTCAGCTACTGTTGTAGAAAAGAAGACACTGCCATGCTCGATATATGCTTGCTGTACTGCAGCCGATTGGGATTGGATTAATGGATATCCTTTGATGGTGCCTTGGGTTAATTGTTCTAATAAACGGCAACATTGATGAACTTCAGTCGTTGAATTAACAAAACATAAAATTTGATCATGTCGTCGGCGCTTTTTGAATAATTCTTGAACGATATCTAAAATATTTTCTTTAGGTCGACAGATTCTTTTCACGTCGTGTAATAGACCGATTTGTGGTAGTTGAAATTCTCCTAATCCCAACTGTTGATATAATCTTGGTACAGATGAATTTAGTGTTGCAGAAGAAATAATCAATTTGATCCTTGTTTTTAGTTCTGGTCGAACTGTTAACAACCGAGCTAAGAGAGCTAAACATAAATCGATATTAATCGACCGTTCATGAACTTCATCAATAAAAAACACCATCGCCTTTTTCATTTCAGTATAAAGAGGTATGAAATTTGGATTATTCAGAAGACTTTCTCGTAGAAGGCCATCCGTGACATAAACAATCGGAGCATCAGGACGATCACCATCCCCACTAATAACCCATCCGGCCAGTTGTTCCGATGTACCATCTATATCAGTTCGGATAGTTTCATTGACTCGATTTGAAACAGCTGTGCATGGATATCGACGAGGTTGAGTTACCAGTATTCTATCGTAGCCTTCAGCAATGAGTAAAGCAGGTAACAATGTCGATTTGCCAGATCCTGTTGGGGTCGCAATCGCTGTCACTGTATGCGTCTCGATCATGTCTAAAAGTTTTATTGATTCATCAAACAATGGTAATTGTAACAGAAAACATGAGTGATAAATTAAAATTTGCTTTAATAGATCAGGAATTAGTTTCCAATGTTTAACTTCATAACCAATAAAGTTGGGTTTGCTTTTTAATTGGTTTTTGATGCGATCAAGAAATATGTTCAACGTCTGAATCGATGATGATCGAGGTCGTTTGTTAAGATGAGTAAATTGCAAAGTGACATTTTGTTGAATGAATTCTTCCATTGCTTTGTATTTTAACTCTTCAATTTCACTCAGAAATGGATGTTCATCAATGAAACCATTTGTAAATTGTCGAAGTTCAACAGATGGTGACAAGAACTGATTACTAATCGTCCGTTCGGTTAACGACGTCGCTTTTGCTCGAATGTAATGATTAAAATTTGCTCTGTAATTCAGCATCTTCGTATTCATAAAACGTTTAAGGATTGCAATATACTGTCTCCAGCTTTTCGTTTGAACATTGACGTCTCGTAAAGTTTGACTAATCGAACGTACTATGCGATTGGAATGTCGCTCGTAATATTCGATACTCGATGTTTGACAGTTGAACAAGGTTAACACACGTTTGAACATACCTTGAAATGCAACATGATGTTCTGGTAAACCTTGGATAGTCAGTTGATAACCATTGTCCATTTCTTGAAATTTTACAGTGAAAATACCGTGAATGTCATTTTCTTTTATACCCGGAGTGGCAGCTCTCAATTGACCAAGGAAATACTCGAACGTCGGTAAAAGAAAGTCATGCATAACTTCTCGAGGAATTTGATTATATTCGGTGATTTGGATTTGTTTTTTCATTTTTTGTAGACAGTCGTGCTGTTCTTTTAAGGGTTCTAATTCCTTTGTTAAATGATCTATCTTTGCTAATGCAGCTCTCACAGTTTCTTCTTTTTCCTCTAGTTTCAATGCATGCTCCTGTTCTAAAGCATGACATTGCATTTGCAAATCTAATGATTCGACTGTACGAAGAGTTTCCAACTTATTGATTTTCGCATGTAATTTTTCGATCTCTTCTTCTGACGTGGATGTTTTTGCATCGGTCAATTGCACCGAGGCTTTTTCATTAGCTTGATTATCATCAATATATTGATCGACATTCATTTCGACTTCTCCATCGCAAGGATTCGGCTCTTCTGAGGTGTCATCTCCTCCGTCTTCAACTAAAGACGTTGGTTTTTCAGGTTGCTGATCATGTTGAACGATATCATGTTCAATTGGAGTTTCATCGTCGTCTTCCGAAGCGAATACTGAGTTTAATGCTTTCTTCTGATATTCTGTGGTTAATGGCATTGGATTAATATTTGATGACGTTTGAAAGTTATCAATTGGAACAATTCGATGTTCATTATTCGACACTAATTTCGGAATCCATCTTATGAAACCGGAGATTGTACCATCTTCGTTCTTAAATGTAAAACTCATCAGATCAAATCGAACAGATTGACCAACGAGTGAGAATTCGATGTACTTCCTTCGGTTATTCATTGCATCATCAAGTCGATCGTTGCTGTTTGCATCACAATTGTACCAAGTATTCAGTTGGATATCTAATTGATCTTCATCGAGTAACGATAGATGTGAAATTTTCATAGACATGGGGTTTTGTTGATCATATTTTCCGTTTTGATGTTGAAGATAGAAAACTTGCCATAGAGAAAAACAATTGAAATTAAGAATCGATGAACCACGACAGCGAACCCATGCAAGATAATTTCCATATTGAAGAAATTTAACCATAGAGATCGTTTGGAATATATTCCATTGATATTCCACTTGAAATTGTTTGTTTTCTTTAACTAGCATTAATTCATTCAATTGCTCCATTTCGGGTTTATCAAAAGGAAACCAAGTCTCAGGATAGCAGAATGGCAAGAATTCCCAAACGCAATCTTGTTTTCGATTTTGATCCATTTCTCGAATCGGATATTCAGGTAAATCTTGTTGCTCTTCGATATAACCGAGATTTAAAAACTCTTGAAAATATTTTACCAAATCTGGCCATTTAGTAGCATTCATTATAGGCGTTTCTTCAGCTTGATTTCGACTAAAACAATTCGCACCGTTTTCAGTCAGATATCGAACGGTATCTAAATGTCCCCCATAACATGCGCCGTGTAAAGCAGTTGACCCCGCACTTGGATCAGCATTATAATCTGTCGCAGTGATGCTATCCATTTGAAGAGCTCGTTGGATATGCTGACGATTTGNTAGTAGCATTCATTATAGGCGTTTCTTCAGCTTGATTTCGACTAAAACAATTCGCACCGTTTTCAGTCAGATATCGAACGGTATCTAAATGTCCCCCATAACATGCACCATGTAAAGCAGTTGACCCTGCACTTGGATCAGCATTATAATCTGTCGCGGTAATGCTATCCATTTGAAGAGCTCGTTGGATATGCTGACGATTTGGAGCATCAATAGAACAATGGCATATGCCAAGAAGGTATTTGACTATGTCCAATCGGCCGTTTCTTGCAGCAGAAAAGAGAAGTGTTGTACCCCATGGTCCTGGTTTATCTTTGAATGTTGGATATTGTTCAAGGAAGATTTCAACCAATTGCTGATTTCCGTCCCATGCTGCACGATACGCATCGAGCGCATCTCGAGTGGCTTGAAGATCGTTTTTAAACAACTCTAAACGATTAACAGTTAGAATCTGTCGGAAATGGAATTGCTCAGTATCATAACCATATTCAAGAAGACAATTCAATAAAAACTGACGAAATTTAATATTTAATTTCGGTACAAATTCCTTAAAACGATTTGCAATCTTCGTTGTTAATTCGTTTGTGCTTTGTTCTGCATAAGAATTACATGATAATATGTCGATATCAACATTTAAGTTAGAATCAGTTTGGACTGAAGTATGCTGACAATCAATATTAATAATAAGAATAATTGTCTCCAAAAACGATCTTAATTCTGCGTCGTCGTTCATCGCCGTCGTCGTTTGCGTCTAGTCGCGCTATAACGTAAGTTTCACTATACTGTTATAGGAAAGAAGAGAAAGATTCCGCACGTTCGAAAAAATGTTTATTAGCAGAAAGAAAGAAAAACTATCGTTTCACTGGGTTTTTTTCACGTCAAAGATATAGTCACCGATGTTTTTTTTTCCAAAAAATTCTTGTTGAGGGTATCGGTAACAGCTTTAGTTTTCATTTATGCATCCTTTTTTTCTGATTTATTTGAAATACAGCTGTTGCTGTCGATTTCTTTTATAAAGAAAGATTTATATGCTGTTGAGGGTAAGGATGTGACCCCGCAATTAACGAATAGCTCGATTTTCCATGTAAACGAAATATACGTTTGTGATGATGGAAGAGAAAAGCGGACATCTTGCATTTTGACTAGTTCACTGGCAATGTTGCTTGTCTCAATTAACATTCCATCTGTAATCGATGCTTTTGTAATTTGCTATTGTAAGCATCAGTCAAAATTTAAACACTCTTTAAACCAAGTTTTTGATGACTCTGTACTCAAGAATTTGTGAAACGCATTATCTCTGTAATTTGAAATCGTATATTTTCATGATTTTTCTTAAATAAGCCTATGTAGATCTATGTAAGCGTAGTTGTAACTATAACATCTCGACCAATTTAAATGCATTCGAAGTAGATAAGTTATCTGAATGTACTCCTTATGATATTCGCCGGCGAAGAAGTACCAGTTCGAGCGAAACGCGTTGCCGAAAAGCACTGTAAGCCCAATATATGCATAGATGAACTTGTCCTGCTTCTAATCAGCGCCATCATATAAGACAGAATGACTTTTATGGTTATTTTTTTCTCCTTTGAGGGTATACTTATCTCCGTTTGCAATGCAATTGAGAGCACAAAAATTGCAATTCTTTGCCCCACATTTAGGGGTGCACACGAGGTAAACATAAGTGAGCTAGTCTAGCTTTTTCGAAAATATTATTCAATGAATACGTGAATTACAGCCATGAAAAATATACAAGGAAATTTATTAGGAAATGCTGTCTAGTGGAACTTCTCTCCTCTACAATAAATTTCACGACGAGAAAAAGGTTATAGCATATAGAAAACTAAATCAAAGTTAATGGCCTTCTTGAACCAATTTCTTGTAGGCATCTAAAGTCAAGAAGTCCTTCAGATTTTTATCGCTAACGAATTTGAACAAAAGATTTGTAGCATCATCCAGTCGATTCTGAGTTTGAAGCTTTGTGATCCATTTGGCCTTTTCTTCGTTGATCACGTTTTCAACCATGCCAAGGTCAACTGTGCGACCGTCGTCAAGTTGTGCGTTATGATGCACCCATTGCCAAATTTGAGAGCGACTGATTTCTGCGGTTGCAGCGTCCTCCATTAGATTGTATAGAGGTACACAACCTGAAAGAATAAGAAAAAATATTAAAATAATTATGGTGGTGACAGTCGTTATGTCATCACTGATTAGCTCCTTACCTGTTCCACGCAACCAAGCTTCCAAGTAACCCAATGTAACATTGATATTATGTCGAAGTCCTGCTTCTGTTCTGCTACCCAAAGGAATCTCAATCAAACCTGCTGCCGAAGGATTTACATCGGGTCTGAGACGATCGACTTGATTTGGTTTTCCATTTAACGTAGCTGCGAATGCTTCGATTGCGATGCCAACAAGACCTGGATGAGCAACCCACGTTCCATCGTGACCTTCGTTAGCTTCTCGAACTTTGTCCTAAAACTCATAAGATTTATCCGAAGCTTCTCTGAATTTCACTTACTTCTCGCACGGCCTGCAAAGCTTTGGTATTCTCTTCTGCATTTGATTTGATCGGAATTTGTGCTGCCATTCCTCCCATTGCATGAGCTCCTCGCTGGTGACAAGCTTTTATCACGAAACGAGAATAGTTTCGCATGAATGGTGTTGTCATTCGAATCTCCGAGCGATTTGGAGTTAAAAATTCACGATGATTCTGAAAGGCTTTGATGTACGAGAAAATATAGTCCCAGCGACCGCAGTTTAGACCGACAATATGGTCACGAAGAGAATATAAAACTTCATCGATTTCATAAGTCAACAGAATGTGTTCGACTAGAACGGTTACCTATAAACAAGATTTCGAAGGAAAACACAGTTGCTTATTTTTTCTCTGAAGAATTTCAACGAAGCTGTACCTTAATGGTTCCCCGAGGTATTTTCAGATAATCTTCCGCAGCGTTCAAAACTTCATTCCAAAGTTCAGCTTCATGGTAGTTTTCCATTTTCGGAAGATAAAAATATGGTCCAGTACCGTTTCCAAGTAATTTTCTTGCATTATTGAAAACATAAACACCGAAGTCAAAGAGAGATCCAGACATTGGTTCACCATCGATTTGAACGTGCAATTCAGGTAAATGCCATCCTCTTGGTCGAACCATGAGAACTGCTGGCTTCGAGCCTGAAAACAAAACCACGCACATTAGTCAAACGATGATCCCGACATCATTTCTTACCAACTTTATACTGTTTTCCACTTTGCGCATCTTCGAAAGAGATTTCACCGCGAATTGCATCATACAGATTTTTCTGGCCCTCGATTAAATTTCTCCATGTAGGTGTTGTCGAATCTTCGAAATCTGCCATATATGTCTTCGCTCCAGAGTTTAGTGCATTAATAACCATTTTCCGATCGCATGGACCAGTTATCTCAACTTGACGATCTTGAAGATCCTTGGGAGTTCCTGCAAGCTTACTGTGTAAGAAATGATTTAAGCAATTGTAATATGTTTACCTAGAATTTTCCAGTTCGTTTTTTTAATATCTCCTGTCGTTGTCAGAAATTTCGGACGCTGTCCTGCATTTAAAAGAAGTTGACGGTTTTTTCGAGCTTCTAAGATCTGTTGGCGTTTTTTCTCAAATCGACGATGTAAACTAGCCAAGAATTGCATCGTTTCTGTACTGATTACTTTCTCATCACCTTCTTCTAAATCCATGGTTAGTTGTACTGAACTGTCCTGAGATACATTCTGCTTCATTCTATTAAAGATGAACCGATTTAGTACATATTTGTTTCGTTTATTTTTAATAGATTTTTATACAAATAGAAAATACAAGTTCATTTTCGAGCGTTCACACTTGTGAATGACAACTTTCTGATATGTGAACTTACTGCATAGCAGCAGCTCGTGCAACCGCTGGTTCCGCCGCTGATTGTATAGCAATTGCTGGAAGACCATATGGGATAGGTTCTGCCTCTTTCGTGAATTGTGCGGCCTCAGTTGATTCAGACAACGCGAGTGTACTTGATTTTCCTCCTAAAAGGTTTTCATGTGTTACTTCTCTACCGTTTTGTCAAAGTTTTAAATCGTTTCTCTTTAAGTCAATCGAGAAAACTCTTTACCTGTAACAGCGAGCATCACCGTATCGAAGTATCCAGTTCCAACTTCACGTTGATGTCGAACAGCTGTATAGCCATGTGGTTCCGATTTAAATTCCGCTTGTTGCAATTCAGAATAGGCAGACATTCCGTGATCCTTGTACTTTCGAGCAAGTTCAAACATTCCGAAGTTAATCGAATGAAATCCGGCTAAGGTAACGAATTGAAATTTGTAGCCCATGGCACCGAGTTCAGCCTAAAAATAGTTAAACAAATTCTAATAAGTTGACAAACAAGTCATTGAAACGTACCTGGAATTTGGCAATGGCTTCGGGACTCAAATTTGCTCGCCAGTTGAACGATGGAGAGCAGTTGTATGCCATCATCTTTCCTGGAAATTCTTTCTGAATTGCTTCTGCAAATACTTTCGCATGTTCCATATTCGGTGTCGAAGTTTCCCACCAAAGAAGATCTGAATATGGTGCTGCACTGAGACCGCGTTTGATACAATGTTGTAATCCTGATCCTTGTTTTAGTCGAAAAAATCCCTCGGCAGTTCGTCCAGCCAAAGTATCGATAAATTCACAATCACGTTCATCGATATTCGATGTTAAAAGTGTTGCCGATTCTGCATCTGTTCGACTGATAATCACTGTCGGAACGCCACAAACATCTGCAGCCAAACGAGCTGCACTTAGATTTCGTACATGAGCATTGGTTGGAATTAAAACCTAGAATTTGTCAGATGAATTTGTATCAGTTAATAATCAGTATGTTTTTACTTTTCCGCCCAAATGTCCGCATTTCTTTTCCGAAGCCAATTGATCTTCGAAATGTACACCAGCTGCACCAGCTTCGATGTAGGCTTTCATAATTTCAAAACAGTTCAAGGGTCCTCCAAAACCAGCTTCAGCATCGGCAACGATCGGAACAAACCAATCTCGTGACAAGTGACCTTCAGCATTTTCTATCTGAGAAGCACGTTCTAGAGTTTTGTTCACCCGGCGAACCATTTCCGGTCCTGAGTTTGATGGGTACAGACTTTGATCTGGATACATCGATCCTGCTGTATTTCCATCTGCTGCAATTTGCCATCCTAAAAACACAAAGATATCATTTTATGTCATCGTTCTGTTTATACAAATTTCACTCTCAATAGAAAACTTTTCCGTTCAAGGAGAGACAACTTACCGGACATGTAAATTGCGTTCAAGCCGGAGCGAACCATTTGCATCGCTTGATTTCCTGTAATTGCTCCAAGTGAATTGATATAGGGTTCTGTATGTAACAACTTCCATAGTCTATTTGCTCCATTCGTCTAAACATAAGAATAATTTCAAATCAATATCTATTCGATGAATTTTTTATTCTCGTTCTATACTCTCGCTTGAATATGACTTAAAACTAGATATTTCTCCGATGATATTCAGATGATTTTCGCTGCGAGATGAAAAAAAAACATTCAGGTTATGTACCTAATCGTATTTATCTAAGAGTATACTCAAACTGAAGGAAAGAAAAACGCTTTCTTTTAGTGACAATTTGTTTTTAAAAACACTCACTGCTAATGTATATTCGATCTCAACGCCGCTTCGTAGTTGACGAACAATATCAGGCCCATAAACTCTTTTGATTCCATCCCATCGACCAGCTGGTACCTTTCGTATCAGATCATAAAATGCCTTGTTCATAATGCTGTTGTTTTATAACGAAATAAGTATAGCCAGATATGGATATCCGTACGTATAATTTTGTAATGCAATTATCTTCTATCGCAGTACCAAACACTGAAAAATACGTACATTCATAGCTTACTTATATAGTGACCAGTGAACGTACTTTTTTTTTCTGTTCTATTCTCATCTGTCGCATACATTGATCTCGTCGCTTCTGGATAAAAATAGAAGCTCGACCATTCTTATCTTTTAACGTTCTCTTTCTCTTATTTTCATATCGTACGTGCATGTGCTGTACCTTTTTTTTCTTCTCATTCTGTCAGTATGACAAAATAATAGGCCTTGATTTATGGACTTTCCCCTCAATTAGATAGTGTAGATGGCAAAAGGAGCAAAGTACTCCGCTTCGTAAGTACAGTGAACTTTCGATACTTCTTCTAGAGTATTTTTTCTATATTGCGACATTCTAAAAGTGAGGTCGAAGTACTAAATACATTGGAATGTAAGACAATATATCCGATCGTACATTTGTACCGAATCAGAATGTTTATTTGGAATTTGAAGCCAGTGAGTGTCGGTTAAAAGTACACACCCCAAGAAAAGTACTGAAACAAGCAAAACAACTGTATAATATATACAGAATAAAAGGTACGCATGAAACATCACACAACGAATTACACGTGCTTGTTATTGCCTTTTCAACTGTCGATTCGTATCGATAAGTACCAGATTTTCCTTTTTATTTCTCTCAAGATTTCAACGGAGTTTTTCACTTGCCCCCATCGAATCGTACGTAACTTCATGATAAGGATGCAAATCTGTTCGAAGATTTGTAGCATACAGAAAAATTTTATTTTTATAAAAGTCATCAATTAAGCAAAATGAATATCGTGACATTTTAGCCAGTATTCGCTATTGAATAACAAGTGCTTCACATCCCATGACCTAGAAGAACAATTTATTCACAATCATCATTCATTTCTCAAAAATAATATTTTACTTTTCGGGAAGCGATTTTCGATCGACAATTTTGATGATACATAAACGCTCGTCGATTTTCAGTAACAATCGATCATTTAATATCCCCATAAATGGATACAACTCCTTCTCAATGAATAATTTCGCCATTTGTTCACCATTTGAAACTCGATACATTCGTAATAATCGATCCGAACAGATCACAAATAAATACTGTTCACCACTATCACTTGGATTAGCGTTACTTAGGCAGAACGTTTCACAAGCACCAGTAGCATCATCCAATTGAACAACTTTGCGTGATTTTGTTACTAAATTGTATATAATTATCACTGGACGATCTATCGAATCAAAAACAAGTAAATTATCTTTTATGATTAATTGATAAGCATCATCCAGTTGTGTGAATTTGTCATTCTCTTTGTGCCAAATAAAGATTTGATTATCGGTATTATGAAAGACGAAATGCTCGTGAAGTGAGTACATTTGCATAACTTTACTTGAATTTAATCGTATGGTTGATGAGCGAATTTTCAATGTTGAATTGACGAGATTGTATTCGAATAGATGAGTTTGATCTTTCGATAGGATGCATAGCCGATCGTCGGATTCATTTAATGTACTTGTCGAACAGTCCATCGCTAGTTGAGTAAGAATTTTTACTTGAAATGCTTTTGTATCGATTTGAAAGACTTGTTTAGTTTGCGAACAGAATAGAACGAATGACGATTGGAGTGAATGAATCTGAACATTTCGATGTTGAAATTCATTTGTTGTCCACGTTAGTTTCTTCGTTTCCATCGAATAGATTGCTAGAAGATTCTTCCGATCAATAACTAACACGTGCGATGAAGATTTCGTAAAATAACATTGTTTCACCGATGGAATCGATAGATGTAAATCAAGTTTATTCATTTCATTCAACGTGTAGATCTTCAAATCTTGATCGTTATCTGTGTAAGTTAGAAATCGATCTAAGTGTATTCTTGGTCGTTGACGAATTGCTTCTGATGAAACGAGAGTTTTCAAACCGACGAGACAAGATAACATTGTCGCACTGTATTTGTACAAATCCTTTCCATCTGAACAATACAGTGTTATACCTTCGGGATGCTCTGAAATCGATGATCAGAAAGAAAAATATGTCAAGTGTATAAATTACCCGCTTCGAAAACGCAATGTTCGATGTAAATATCCAATTGAACATGACTGAGAAGAAAAGACACATGTTTCTGTTGTTTTTTGTCATAAAGCCATTCATAAATATCTACGATACTTTTATTTCTATTAATACAAGCTGAAAAGGAAAAAAGAACATGAAGCGTTTTTTCAATGTGACAAAGCAAAACTCACCTATAAGATTTCCTAAACCGCCACTAAACGCATGTGAATTGTAATTATCATGAATCAAATCATATTCACCCAAAGATGTCAAACAAAATGGCTGAAAAATTTTCTCTTTACACAATGGGTTGAATATCATCACTGATGATTGTGTCAACCAGCCAATCGAATTGCTATTCGGAAGATGGACGACCGAGTCAGGTAACGAATGAAAATCGATATCGTTGTGAACTTCAATTGGATTAGTTTCGTGATGTACAGTTAATAAAGTTTTGGAGTTGTCGAGTGAATAGAAAAATTCGATGTGTAAATCAAGGAGGACGCAATGTTGATAAGAATTCTTGTCTCGGTGAACCGTTCGAATGAGTTCGAGTTGACAATCCTTATTGATCGAAAAATAAGAAATCTTTAAGCTTGATTTGAACGTCAGTTTCAGATCGTTTTTCTTCAGAAAATAATTCTCGATCATATCGTCGCCACAATCATATTCAGATATTAAATTATTCTCGGCACAGTTCCAAATCTGTAAAGTGTGCTGCGACAATGAAATAATTAGAATAATATCCTTCTTAATAAATGCAATCAATCGATGACACGGGATTTGCATCATTGTTTGTTTGGTCGAGACATTCTTTACGATCATTTCCGAATTTGATGTTAAACAGCATAAACATTCGCTGTGATATAAAGCCGAGATAATTTTTTCTCCCGTATCTTTCTTCATATAGGTGATTTCGGACTGGTTGTATATTGTTCGAAAATGATTCTGAAATTGAAACATTCGACTGTCGTCTGTGACAACTAGCAGAAAAAAATTTGAAATTTTCGAGTAGATCACGTGTCCTAATGGACATTTCAGGAGATATTGTGGTCGTTGATCGTCTGTTATCAATAGAAGTGGACACACGAGTAGACATTGATCGAGTAAATTGTACAGATTTGGACTTAAGTGCTCTCGGAAGGGAAGTAATCGATAGACTAACTCGAATGGAAGGTTCGAAGGATACGGATTGAGTATATCGATCAGCATTTCGAATTGCTTGAGTAGGAATCGTGAATCGCCACTCCCACTGTAATTTCCCCTAGTAAATACGTATAGAAAATCGATTATGGTATATTCACCGCAAAGAAGTAACGCGGTGAGAAAATCGAGATTGAATAAAGACGCGTAGTGAACGTATTCGTAACGTCCAATGTTGAGATATAATTGATGAAGACGTCGAAGGTTGTATTGCTTTTTCTGTTTGTCTATCAACGGTTTTTGTGGTGTTAAACATCGATCAACGGAGATGATTGCTGTTGGTAAATTGTATTTCTTCGTTAATTTCGCGGAATAACTCATATCGAATGTTGTTTTGTATTCATTGGCATAATATTCCAAACGAGTTTTCTCCAAGACCGGTGTTTCCTGTCGATATTGCTGCCCTTGTTCACCTTTCCATGGTTGATAATCTTGAAAATATCGATGATAACTAGAAACAAACAAATGCCCATGTCACTTCTCAATCTACTTTTTCCTCACTTACAAATAAATACATGGAACACCGTCGATATCCTTTTCAACCAAATATTTATGCATATCATTTCGAATACGAATCCACAGATTCGATGGTAAACGAAACGATTCTAACGGTGGCAAATAATGCGCAAAAACTGATTGTAGAATAACATCATCTAACGAAAGAATGTCTTCGATCTCGACTTCACTCAAACCCCCGGACAATTGAAGATAATGTATAGCACGATGGAATAAGATTTGTCCATGTTTTGCACCTAACTGATTGTATAAGTATTCAATGGCATCACCTGCGTACTCAATAGATAAAAATTTCGCATCGGGAGTTTGATTGTACGAATGCCAGGTTAATGTTTGATCGTAGATAAGCGAAAGGAAAAGTGGATCGATCTGATGTCGCCGAGTTAGTTTTGGTTTGATCCATTCGTATTGAACTGGTGTTAAACAACGTCGGTCTTGTTGCAGCCAAGATCGTAACACTTCTTCAGCTGTATTTTCATCGAACGGTTTGATTTCTATATCGAATAAATTGTCCGGATAGATTGCTTGCAGTTGGAGGTAAATCTCGATTTTTGTTCGTTCTAATCCAATTTCTATATCCGGAATTGTCGAGTAGATACATTTGACATTCGACGGGAAGCTTTTCGGTAACCAATCGGATAAATGCATTACATCGACTTTCTGTAATTGGTCGAGCGAATCAAGAAGAAGAACGAGATTTTCTTCTTTCGGAACACGTGTCAAAGTACTCGTGAAGATTTCTTTAACATTTTCGAAACTCGATGGGACACTCAAATGATAAATATGACATATTTGTTGAATAATCGATATGAGTGGACGCCGAATATCGCTAGATGATGGAGTGGCACCCAGAAATCGGACGATAACAGAAACATAATTCGGTTTGGGATACCAATTGGGAATCTATACTCATAATTATATCAACCTTCGAGTAAAGAACAACTTGTTGACTTACTTCATTAACGATCTTTGCCATAATTGATGATTTACCGATTCCAGAGTGTCCAAATAACACACAAGCAGATTTTGTCGATGCTGTAATATACGTTTTGATCTAATAGTGAAGATTTACTAGGAGGTATGAGAAAATGTCTGTTTACTTGATGGAAAACATCCGGTCGAGGAAAAAATCGTTGTGTTAATAGATTGCATTGAATTGCATGTTCTAAAACTTGATTAAATAACAAATCGTCGCGTTTACTCTCGTAGATTTTCATATGGTAATCGATTTGCGATCGGACTGCATGGTAAAAATCATCGTAGAATTTCGATAGATAGTTCTTTCGATCGTTCCCATCGTTCCATCGTAACTAACCACACGAAATGATATCTTTTAGACAGAATCAAGACTTACTCTGTAGGTATAAATTTGTGAAGGATCTATCGATTGACGAAGCAATTGTTTGACATCGTCCAACATCTGTTGAGACTGAGCTTTATCATCGTTGTCGTGAAACATCGATTCGAGCTCGTCGATATCAATTAATTCCCGAAAGAAACAAACTGTTCGCTGTGGTTTCTGTTTATTATGCTCCAAAGCACGATAAATTTCCTGCGCGGTGACTAAAATGAAAAGCTATGATATGAAATACTCCCAGGAACGAATTACCTGAGATGTGAAATTCATCCCGTTCGTCTTTGTTGATCAGTTTTTGCTCGTAACATTGGTTCGATGCTTCCCGTAAAATTGTTTGCAATTTTTTCTCTGATTCGTTCCATTGTTGATTATTATCAATCGGCCGAAGAAAGTACTTTTGATCCAAATAATTCTCGTCTAACTGGTACATTTCATTCAGAAAGCTCTTCTCTTTAGTATTCGATAGAAGATGTTGAAATATCCGTGAAGAGATACACGCCGGTGTAAAACGACTTCCATATTTATGACTCAACAAAATCTTGAAATGCAAAAATAGATGCAAAATAGACAAAGTCGGTATTTTACCACACAATTCGTTGCCATCGATAAGCGATAGGAAATATCAAGTTCTTGCAAACACATGTCAACGGTTGCATGAGTATTTGCTGCACTAGATTGAATACCCCAACGCATATCGGAATACTACAAAAATCAAGATAAAAATGTGAAGATTAGAAAAGAAATTACTTGAAATTGAATATCATATTTCGAAGCACAATATTCACGTAACCGAGGATAAACGCTCTCAATGAGTCCATTTCGTTCATTGGTGGTATCTAATGACGCACATATTCGATATTTCAAAATTAGTTTATCTAATGACTAACCAGTGAATGTTGAACTGACAAATATACGAACTGAATTGAATTTTCGATCTCCAACATGATCAAACCGACCCCGATACAAGGAATTGTCTTCCATAGTCGTCTGAAAAGAAAATTTACTTTAAGTACAAAATAAATTTCACGGCTGTGGTCGATAACTCGCACCTTTCTCTTTTTATGTTGACGCGCGTCGTGTGCTTCGCTCAATTTCTCTTCTTTCTTTCTTTCTGCTATTAGACGATTCCATGCCAATGGTAACTAAGAGACCATAATGCCAGTGACATAAACAAGAAAATGTTTTCTTTGAGTTTTGAAAGCAAATTAAATCCACAGAAATCGCGCTGGAAGAGTTGCCATGGAACGGTTATCGTTTCTGCTTGTGAAGAATCTAACTATTTTCATATATGACACGTGTTTATATGTGGACAATAACTATAAGGAAAAGAACGATAAAGTATAAGGATAACAAATACAGCGGATTATTCATCTCACACATGATGTTATGATGATTCATTCATCAGCTCTTATCAAGATTTTCAACCTATATAGAATACATATTGATTTTGTGCGTATATATATATGATGTGATAAAAACATTCAGTCACATGTAGAACAATAAAGTAGTGTTTTACAAAAAACAAGTTCTACCTGTGATTACTATATTGATATAAACCAATGGCAGCAATGAATTGGATTTGCGATATTTTGACAGTATGGTTCTGTTTGATGTACAAATCATATGGAATGCCAGTGGTGGATGAGCGCGATTGGTAAGAGAATTATCTCGTACGTTTTTTCAGCGATATATCTTCTGGCAATTTTGTAGGAAGGTATTTATACGATCAGATCTAGTAACCATCGATCTTTTTCATGAACATTTTCGTTCATTATTCATCTAGGACGTTGAAGACGATACAGTCTTTATACAACAACAAAAGATAAAATCAAGTTCGTATGATCATCTCTTCTTAAAAATGCATTAGTGATGTTTTACTTGGGCAATTTAGACGAAAATACGATCGTATGTATTCATTGGATATGATATAAGGCACTTCTTTGTTGTTGCATAGCAAAGTCGAGGAGTGGCAGTGAAAATAAATCCAAGATGGCCTGCTGGTGTCATACCTTATTATATCGAGCCAAATTTTTGTTTGTATCCAAAACTTGCAATCAATCAAAAGTACGTTTTTTTTTTCGTTTATAGCTGATGCTCACACGCATTTGATTGAAGAAGCAATGAAACAAATCGAAGAAAGTACGAAAGTAGATGATAAATCGTGCATTCAATTTAAACGTCAGTCACAATACAAACTCCCTTATGTTCATATAATAAATGGAGCCGAATGTTCATCAACCGTACGTAGATACATAATAAATTTTACTTGAAAACGACAGTAATTGATTTGGTGCAGATTGGACAGGGATGGGGATATAAGAGAATAATGCTGGAACATTCGTCGACGCGTAGTTGTATGAATATTGGAATTATTTTACATGAATTACTTCACACGTTAGGTAATTTGTGTTTGTTTCTCAAGACAAATATCATAAATTTCACTATTAAGGATTTGGTCATGAACAGTTGAGGCCTGATCGCGATTCATATCTTCAAATTCAATGGGAAAATATCCAAGAAGGTTATTAAGAAATACAGTTGACTATGAAATTGTTCACTTTCGTTCTTATTAGATAAATTCGATAAATTCAAGCGATATGAAGCACATCAAGCTTACGATCTTGACACACCATATGACTACGGATCAGTTATGCATTATCCACTTGACGCGTACAGCAAAAACGGATCTTTAACAATGGTTCCAACAAAAAATATCAGTGTCATCGTTGGTGAACCATTCAATTTAACTTCTATAGATATTCTTGAAATCCAACGGTATTATCAATGCGTTCCTTTCGGATCAACAACTACAACAACTCCGAAATCTTGTGCAATCACATGCTCAGCGCCTTGCTTTTTCGTTTTCACTCTAGCCCTATCAATCTTAAAGATGCAATTGTGATGAATATTGTTATGATACGAGGTATCATGACATCTATTTTCCTGACTATTTCTTTCTCATTTCTTTGTTGCCGGTTCTATATATGTTGTGAAATAAATCGAACTAGTCAGTTATGCTTCGATAGTAACATCGAACACACGTCTCTTTCTTTTCACTCTCGAACATCGAGCATAACAGTGGTGACAGCGGTCTGAAGAAGAAGAAAAGCAATTTTTCTTCTTTTAATTTNTGTGATCGATTGAAGCAACATTTACAAAGCGGCCGACCGATTCGTACACGTCCCTCACCACCAAGTGAAAACGTATCGGTGCACGACGAAGACAAATGTACATTGGAGGATATTATCCATGAAAAATTTAACACCTATTCAGGTATTGGTGATGCTAAAAGTTGGCTACTACAAACCATGAATCAATTCAAATTATATCAGATACGACGTGACGACCAACTCGAAGCTATGCCTTTATTGTTAGTCGACGAAGCTTATTTATGGCTCGTGGAAAACATCGAAGCTATTCCCAACTTCGAAGTATTCACCAAATTATTTCTTGGACAATTTGCATCGACAGCAACACCAACGGCAAGTTCCACCAAGGGTACTGTTGCACCAGTGACTGTTGTACCTGACCATTCACCTGCATCGCATTTGCAAAGAACCATAGCTGATGAAATAATCAAACGACCAACATATTTTCGTGGTTCACAAGATGATGTACACGATTGGTTGGAGAAATTGGAACAACGATTCGCAATGGCACATTGGAACGATGAGGACAAGTTACGATACATATCAATACATCTACAAGATGATGCCTATCGATGGTGGATGCAAACATCCACTACGATAAAGACTTGGTCTTCGTTCACAGATGCAGTCGTGCGTGCTTTTGGCTCAACACGAGCACAAGAATTGGCATTTGAACAATTGAAATGGTACAAACAAACCATCAACCAGTCTATTACTCAATATTATGAAAAAGTTATTGAACTATGTAAAAAAGTCGATCCTGCAATGCCTGATTCCTTGAAATTAAAATATTTGATGGCTGGAATCAAGGAATCATTGAAAACACACGTTGCATTACAAGATCCGAAATCAACTGAAGCATTTTTATCATTAGCACGAAAAGTTGAAGATATTTTTGCACTTAAACAAGCCGATCAGGATACTGCTGTAAATGATACTTATTTGAATGCAACCACTTATCAAAGTCAACCAAATCAAACGAACTTCACACCAACGTCGAACAATAATTTCTATCGAAGTAATTCTCGACATCCAACGGCACCAAATAATCGTCCGATGTATAATCGAAACACATCAAGTACATACAATGGTAACCGGCAAAGCAAATCTTCGAAGTATACAAAGTCAACACAACGATCGAATGCATGTTTTAACTGCGGTACTCTTGGCCATTATGCCCGAGACTGTACCCGTCCGCATTTTCAATAATGGAAGCACCGGTCGATGGTGTTGCTTCCAGAATGTTACATAGCAATCCATCGACGTTAAACACATCATTGCTTTACCTTGATGTTCTTGTAAATAATAAGCGAATGAAAGCAATGATTGATACTGGCGCAAACCGAACATTTATTTCATTACAAGCACTACCTAGACCACACACTCAACAATTTACCGATAAACAACAGAGAAGTGCATCTTTAGCTGATGGACACACATCACTTTCTATTTTAGGCACATTAGAATTATGCATTGATATCGGTGACATGTCAACAATTATCAAAGGATATGTCGTGAAGGAATTATGTGCCGAGTGCATATTAGGAATGGATTTCATTAGTAAATATAAACTCATTATCAATGCTGATGAACGAACGGTGACAATGCATGATGATGATAGATGCATTACAACGACATTTAATGTTAATCAACGCAAAATTCGTTATCCGGCACGAACAATTCGTCAGGGCTATATTCCACCGAAACGAGCAGTCTCAATACCAGTCGACGTGAAAATATCGTCAGCCAAAGTTTCATTTCGGCCATCCTTTCGATTGGCGCGACAATCACCAATGATATTGTTAAACAACATGGTCGTGGTGAATCACCAAAAGTCACACATTTCACTTTACAATCCGACTAAATATTCGTTCACGATACCTGAGGGCATCGTAGTAGGAACGACCACAGTTCCAACACTATCTTTCAACAAATGCTTATCGATCGATCATGAATTAGTCAACGGACATATTNAACACGAGCACAGGAATTGGCGTTTGAACAATTGAAATGGTACAAACAAACCATCAACCAGTCTATTACTCAATATTATGAAAAAGTTATCGAACTATGTAAAAAAGTCGATGTTGCAATGTCTGATTCCTTGAAATTACAATATTTAATGGCTGGGATCAAGGAATCATTGAAGACACATGTTGCATTACAAGATCCGCAATCATCGATATCCAACGGCACCAAATAATCGGCCGATGTATAGTCGAAACACATCAAGTGCATACTATGGTAACTGGCAAAGCAAACCTTCGAAGTATACAAGGTCAACATGACGGTCGAATGCATGTTTTAACTGCGGTACTCTTGGCCATTATGCCCGAGACTGTACCCATCCGCATTTTCAATAATGGAAGCATCGGTCGATGGTGTTGCTTCCAGAATGTTACATAGCAATCCATCGACGTTAAACACATCATTGCTTTACCTTGACGTCCTTGTAAATAATAAACAAATGAAAGCAATGATTGATACTGGCGCAAACCGAACATTTATTTCATTACAAGCACTACCTAGACCACACACTCAACAATTTATCGATAAACAACAGAGAAGTGCATCTTTAGCCGACGGACAGACATCACTTTCTATTTTAGGCACATTAGAATTATGCATTGATATCGGTGACATGTCAACAATTATCAAAGGATATGTTGTGAAGGAATTATGTGCAGAATGCATATTAGGAATGGATTTCATTAGTAAATATAAACTCATTATCAATGCAGATGAACGAACAGTGACAATGCATGATGATGATAGATGCATTACAACGACATTTGACGTTAATCAACGCAAGATTCGTTATCCAGCACGAACAATTCGTCAGGTCTATGTTCCACCGAAACGAACAGTCTCAATACCAGTCAACGTGAAAATATCGTCAGCCAAAGTTTCATTTCGGCCATCTTTTCGATTGGCGCGACAAACCCCAATGATATTGGTAAACAACATGGTCGTGGTGAATCACCAAAAGTCACACATTTCACTTTACAACCCGGCTAAATATTCGTACACGATACCTGAGGGCATCGTAATAGGAACGACCACAGTTCCAACATTATCTTTCAACAAATGTTTATCAATCGATCATGAATTAGTCAACGGATATATTACAAAGTTGACTCGACACGTCGCAGATCCGAAACAAGCAGATGAAATTACGAATATTCTTCACCACCATGAGAAACTCTTCGACACAAGCAAACCTGCGATTGCTGTTAATGTCAAACCACATGAAATCAAGACACTTGATTATCCTCCACCGACGTCGAGACCGTACTATTCAACGCCACAAAAAGAAGAAGAAATGTACAACATCGTTCAAGATCTTCTACAACATGGTCTCATTCGCAAGTNGAGAAACTCTTCGACACAAGCAAACCTGCGATTGCTGTTAATGTCAAACCACATGAAATCAGGACACTTGATTATCCCCCACCGACGTCGAGACCGTACTATTCAACGCCGCAAAAAGAAGAAGAAATATACAACATCGTTCAAGATCTTCTACAACATGGTCTCATTCGCAAGTCATATTCTCCATTTGCAGCACCAGCATTACTGGTCGCTAAGCACGATGGAACATGGCGAATGGTTGTCGATTACAAGAAACTGAACACCATGACAATCAAAGACAATCACCCATTGCCGAACATGGAACAAACAATAAGACGATTAGGTGGTGGATACAAATTATTCTCCAAATTAGATATGAAGAGTGGATTTTGGCAAATCCCAATCAAGGAAGAAGACAAGAACAAGACAGCATTTATCACAGCTGAAGGATTGAAGAACAGCCCGCCGTCATATCAACGAGTGATGGCTGACATATTGGCACCTTGTCGACAGTTTCCATTGGTCTACATCGACGACATCGTGATGTTTTCTCGTTCATTCGAAGGGCACGTGGAACACATCCAACTAGTATTATCCATTCTATCCAAGTACAACTTTCAACTCAATCCACCGAAATGCAAATTATTCCAACGAAAAATTGAATATTTATTCTTGGATTCGCACTGATAGCTGCACCGATACACAAAATAACGAATTTGACCAAGGAGAACAAGAAGAATTTCAAATGGAAAGAACCACAACATAAAGCATTCTTAAAATTGAAACAACATCTAGTAACTTCTCCATTATCTCTTGATTATCCTAATGATGCTTATCCAGTTATCCTAACGACAGACGCATCGAAAATAGACATTGGTGGAACATTACAACAGAACATTAACGGTGAAATGAAGAATCTCTATTATCATTCTCAAGTGACAACATCCACGTAGAAGAGATACGATCCAATTGAATTAGAAGCATTAGCTATATGGATGTGTTTTCAACGTATGAAGCCTTATTTACTAGGAAGATCTATTATCATCTATGTCGATCATTGTCCATTATGTAACATGATGAATTCGACAGTGAAAAATCGAAGGGTGGATCGAATATCGATCTTATTGCAGGAATTCAACATCGAAAAAGTTATCCACATCAAGGGTCAACACAATTGCTTAGCCGATTATTTGTCTCGAGATCCAATTACAAGGGAAGAAGAATTATTTGGCGAAGATTATGGAATTGCAAAGCAAGTGAAGTGGGAACCGACTGCTACAGTGCGTGTTTCTGATGGAACTCCTCCACTGGTGGGAGCTGTTCTGATCCGGCCCAAAGCAAAACAACTACAAGACCAAGATGTGATGGAAATTACCCCATTCAATCAGAAGAAAATAACAACATCAACCGTAGAAGAAACAACTGATCAACAAGCAAAATCTCCACCGAAAGTTGGTCGAAAATATGATTTCGATATGAACAAATTGGAAGCCGAACAAATGAATGATCCTATCATTAAACAGAAGATTGCGGAAGTTATGAATAATCCAACCAAATGTTCTTATGAAGTGAAGGATGGTTCATTATACAAGCTAGTTATGATGCATATCGGTTCCAAGACGAATAAGAAAGTAATATCGTACTATCATCAATGATCGATGGTCTACTCCAGATTTATCACAACCATCCACTTACTGGACATTTTGGAGTTCAACGAACATACCTGAAGATCAAAAACAAGTTCTGCTGGCCGAATATGAAACAGTCGATCACACGATACATACAATCATGTTTACCATGTCAACAGCACAACGCTAGTCGATTGAAAAAGCCTGGTCTTTTACAACCGATCACTCCTCCAGAAGGACTATTTCAATTAGTTGGCATGGGCTAATGTGGTCCACTTAAATCAACACCTCGTGGAAATCAATATGTACTCTGCATTACAGATTACTTCACAAGATGGGTGGTCGCTGTTGCTGTACCTGATTGCTCGGCACAAACAACTGCCGAAGCACTATTCAACGAATACATTTGCAGATACGGGGTACCAGCAGCGATATTATCCGATCAAGGCACACATTTCCACAATCAGTTGATGGAAGCAATGGCGAAATTAGTTGGATATAANAAATTGAATATTTATCTCACGTCATTTCCGAAAATGGATTTCAACCGAATGGTGAAAGAATACGATCAATCAAAAATTTAAGGGAACCCTCTACTCTGGTAGAGGCGAACAAGTTCCTGGGAGGTTTATCTTGGTACAGAAAATTTATTCCTGGATTCGCATCGATAGCTGCACCGATACACAAAATAACGAATTTAACCAAGGAAAACAAGAAGAATTTCAAATGGGAAGAGCCGCAACATAAGGCATTCTTGAAATTGAAACAACATCTGGTGACTTCTCCATTATTTCTTGATTATCCAAATGATGCTTATCCAGTTATTCTAACGACAGACGCATCGAAAATAGGTATTGGTGGAACATTACAACAGAATATTAATGGTGAAATGAAGAATCTCTATTATCACTCTCAAGTTACGTCCTCCACTCAAAAGAGATATGATCCGATTGAACTAGAAGCGTTGGCCATCTGGATGTGTTTTCAACGTATGAAGCCCTATTTATTAGGACGATCTATTATCATCTACACGGATCATTGCCCATTATGTAACATGATGAATTCGACAGTGAAAAATCGAAGAGTGGATCGAATATCGATCTTATTGCAGGAATTCAACATCGAAAAGGTTATCCACATCAAGGGTCAACATAATTGCTTAGCCGATTATTTGTCTCGACATCCAATTACAAGAGAAGAAGAATTATTCGATGAAGATTATGGAATTGCAAAGCAAGTGAAGTGGGAACCGACTAATGAAGTACGTGTTCCTGTTGGAACTCCTCTACTAGTGGGAGCTGTTCTGACGCGATCTAAAGCAAAGCAGCTACAAACAAAGCAAGACCAAGATGTGATGGAAACTACACCACCTGAACAAGAGAAAACAACGACACCGCCTGCGGAAGAAAAAACCGATCCACAGGCACAATCTCCATCGAAAGATGATCATAATTACGAATTCGATATGGAGAGATTGAAGGTCGAACAAACGGACGATCCAACCATTGAACAGAAGATCACAGAGGCCAAGAAGAATCCAACCAGATGTTCTTATGAATTCAAAGAGGGCCTGTTATACAAATTGATGCCGATGCGTACCAACTCCAAGACGAAGAAGAAACTTATTTATGTACCATCATCAATGATCGATGATCTACTCCGGATTTATCACAATCATCCACTTGCTGGACATTTTGGAGTTCAACGAACATATCTGAAGATCAAAAACAAGTTCTGGTGGCCGAATATGAAACAGTCGATCACACGATACATACAATCATGTTTACCATGCCAACAGCACAACGTTAGTCGAGTGAAAAAGCCTGGTCATTTACAACCGATCACTCCTCCAGAGGGACCATTTCAATTAGTTGGTATGGACTACTGTGGTCCACTTAAGTCAACACCTCGTGGAAATCAATATGTACTCTGCATTACAGATTACTTCACAAGATGGGTGGTCGCTGTTGCTGTACCTGATTGCTCGGCACAAACAACTGCCGAAGCACTATTCAACGAATACATTTGCAGATACGGGGTACCGGCAGCGATATTATCCGATCAAGGCACCCATTTCCACAATCAGTTGATGGAAGCGATGGCGAAATTAGTGGGATACAATCACACATACTCAACCACTTATCATCCACAATCGAACGGCATGATCGAAAGATTCAACGCGACATTCATCCCGCAAATCGCCAAACTCCAAGATAGAGAAAACAATAATTGGGATGAATTCTTGACACCAGTAGTATTCGCGTACAACACGGGAATTCATTCGACAACCGGATATGCACCATATGAGCTGCTATTCGGCAGAGAACCAAGATTATCTACGGATCAACCTCCATCAACATTCACATTTCGGAAGCCCAACGATTACTACGAGCAATTGAAGAAGAGTATGATGATCATACATCGAAATGCACGTAGAAAAATGACAGATAAGCAGCAACAATACAAAAAACGTTACGATACACAACGAAAGGACCCGCATTATTCAATAAATGACCGCGTGTTGATCAGAAAACATGGATTGAAGAACAAGTTAGATCCGAAATATTCAGTCACTCCTCAAATTATCGTTCGTGATCAACATCCAGTCTATATCGTTCAGGACGAATCAACACATGTGGAAACACGGGTACATGTCAATGACATTCGACCCATTTATAGTTCACAATCGAATTAATGAAGAAAAGAAGTCGGCGGGAAGCGAAAGCATAGCATTTTATCAAATATTTTAGTTAGAATCTTTATTAGAATTTTTGAAGGAAATATTTTTATTGATTAACTTATGAAATATATTATCATTTCGTATCATTCATTTTTGGGTGATTATTCTCTATCATTTCGTGCAAGGTTTTGTGATTGAGAACTGTCGAATTATGTCGATCACATGCGCAGTGATTGACACGATGAAACATTTGTCAACAATGACTTGAATTCAAAGGAATCTTGACACGCGCGAATCAGGATGACAATTGTATATCAAAATTCAAGATGGAAAATTGATACGGTAGTAATGCACAAAGAAATGATAGACATGTCGATTTAGAAAGGAAACTCTCTTTAAAGAGATGTTTCTGATTGAATACCAATGGAATCACTTGTGTAATTTTATGACGTCGAATGACATCTATGACAACTATGGAATTAAATTGGAATTCGTTCATAACGAAGCTGACCACTGGCTATTGGTCTAAAGGGTTACTCGAATCAAAATGCTTCGATTCATTAACCCTGTTATTAGTCACAAAGTGAATCAGTATTTATTTATTTACCAGCCAGTGTTGCATCACGTGGTTAGTTGCTTCCCGTCGGTTCAATCATCACACCCTCAACTTATCATCGGATCACATTGTTTATTTACTCATTCGTCTTGTGTTTATTTCAGAAATCTTGAGATTTAACTGGTCAAAGGTCATTTATTCACCTTATTCATCGGTCGAATCTTCACTAGTCAAATCTCCATTAGTCGAATCATCCTCAGTCGAATCTTCATCAGTCGAATCTTCATCAGTCGAATCTTCATCGGTCGAATCTTCAGCAGTCAAATCAGCATCAGCCGAACCTCCATCAGTCGAATCGTTATCGTCGAAGTCATTACTGCAATTATCGTGTGTAAATTTCATCGTTGAATTTTCATCGTCAAGTTGAATATCGTACTTTGATCGGACCTTTCGTTACAGTCGAATTTGCATTCCGATTGACCTCGTATTTCTATTCTGCATTGTAATTTCAAAGGAATTTATCATTCCAATCGCAAGTGGGGTAGAAATAAAAAATTTTTTTTTTTGTCATTTCGTTTGGATTGTCGTACATCGAAATCATCTGTTCGTTCTCAATTCGGTGTTACAACAAGTGAAACTGGGAAATCTATATTCGGATATGAACAAAGCAATGGAATGTAAGGGAGTCGCTGACATGTATCCTGCGTTTGTAGTCCCTGAGTTGATCCATGAAGTGATATTTGTTAACCAATACATGTCGATGGAAGCGATTGACAGATTACTGAACCATATTAGTGATTGCTATCAATTTTCAGTCGATACGGAAGGCGAAGTGACCAACAACAGACTAGCTATTATACAAATTCATACAATTCCACGAACATTACCATCTATGGTCATCTTGCTCGAACTGTGTCACTTGCCGTCTCCTGGATCAGAACAATATGCAAAAATTGAACAAATTCTTCGTCTAACCTTTAGGTCAGACAACTACATTTATGCATGGGGAGACATGAGGAAAGAACTCGAACCAGTAAACCACTTGCTCGACTGGCCAATTAGATCCGAATTAATTAACTTACAGCCACATTTTGCTGGATGGTATGAGTGGGCTCGGACCTTATGTAGGGTCCAGAACCTGCAAGAAAATGTTATTAAAGTGGAAAGTAATGAAATCAATCGATCAAATGATCCAATGAAATGCACGTGCCATCGTGAGTCTCCCTATCACGAAAGCCAGTTGTGGTCATTGCAAAATGCATTGATTTATGGCTTTGATGTATTTATTGATAAAACAGCTCGGATGGCACATTGGTCACATGGACTAACATATAGTCATTCATCATTATCACATGCACAACGTATTCGAATGATACATTATGCCAAGAATGATGTAATGGCGGTAACCTATTTGGTAAGACCCATTGTCGAACGCTGGTCGTTTACGAGAATCAAGGAAACGAAGATCGAAGCAAGGTTTACTGCATTTGAACCAATATTACCAGCACCATTACGTCAATCGTCAACAAAGAGGAAGGTCAAAAACCTGGATGTACAAAAATTGGCAAAAATATTCGAAACGATCGATCCCGATATTGAATCGATATCATCGGATGACGAAATATATTTGAATCAGGTGAACCAAGACGTTACTCAAGCTAGTGAAGAACATGTCGAAACAGAATTAGCAACAGCAACTAATGACAACATCAATGATGATTTAATTGAACCAACGAATGGAGATCTCGTTGACATTTCGGATGATGAAATTATCATTAGAAATATTGGGACACAGATGGATAATGATGATGTTACAACGACTCAATACGAAATGGGATCAGCCGAAGTGATTTGGCAAGATCCTGTAATAATTGCTGATGGTAATTATGAAGCAGAAGAAAGAACAAATCGATCGAAACATCAGCAACGCAGCATCAAAGCAAGGAATCGGAAAAACAACAAACATAACAAGCAACGACGTAAACATCGTTATCGACACTTTATCAAGCGACGATGTTATTATCGCTTCACCATGTACGAAATGAAAAAGATTCTTCGGTATTATGGAATTACATTTACGCACGTGAAATTCGATGAAACAAGTGAAAATTTAATTATCGGACTGAAGAATGAAGAAAATCGAAGTGAAGCAGAACATCAATTGGCAATCGATATATTCAACCGCAGAAGTTATTATCATTACCGGAGAAGACAATATCACAAATGAAGCAAAGGACACGAAAACAAAGATTTCTTTCTTTCTCTCTTCTCTTCTCTTTCTTTCTTTCTTTCTTTCTTTCTCTCTTCTCTTCTCTTTCTTTCTTTCTTTCTTTCTTTCTCTCTTCTCTTCTCTTTCTTTCTTTCTTTCTTTCTTTCTCTCTTCTCTTCTCTTTCTTTCTCTCTCGTTCATTTATTTCTCGCTACTGTGGACAGTTCTTTGTTATTATTTCTCCTGTGAAAGCTTTCAGTGATATTTATTCACAAAAAGTATTTTTTTATATACCAAAAAATCCTTTTTTGTGTCGGGGAAGGGTGTTACATCCCGCCATCTGATGACACGTCCACAGATCTTTCGTGGACGTAATCGTCTCTCTCTCTTTCCTTTGTGTGTTGTTTCTATATAACCTGGTGAAATAAAAGTAAAGTCAGTTATGTTCTAACTATTTATCGAACACACGTCTTTTCGCTCTCGAACATCGAACATAACACTCTGTTTGCAGTGAATTATTATTGATTCTTTTGATAGAGTTAATAAATTTTCGCAATTTCCTAAAGTTTATTTTTTACATGCATGTGGAATTGCAACATCAAATGTTTCTCACGATTCACTGTAGTTAACGCTTGTGTTAATGGCGTCGCGCCAGTTTTTTCTTACACAACATTTTTCGCTCTTCTATTATTGTCATTCACACTGATTTATCATGTGATACGGGTCTTTCCATTGGTCGTTATCGATATCGTTCTCTGTCTTTTGTTTCTTTCCTCTCTTCTGCAGTATGAATCTTGAACAATAACAATTCATTCGACGAACATAGTTCCTTCTTAGCTCAGGTAAGAATTGTGTACGACACAAAGCCAAAGAAATGTTTTCTCATTCTGAAACTATCACGAAATGGAATCCGTTTGTTTCCATATTAAAAATCAAGCTCTTTTAAAATCATATCCGTTTCTTCCAGATAATCTCAACAAATGAATTCAACGGTTCATGGCGATGTCGGAGATGACTCTAAAACAAGTTCAGTTATCTTATTTCTCTCATTTTCAGTCTTGTCCTCATGTATATACAAAATCATATTATCGAAGTTTTTCAAGAATAAATTACCACTACCATTCACGGTTGTTGTTCTTCTCATTGGCTTTATCATTGGTATTATTGCAGCACACATGAACAAAATCAAGAGTAATTTCTTATATGGTGAAATTGAATTAAGTCAAATCAATCCTCACTTGATGTATTACATCTTTTTACCATTGTTAATATTCGATTCATCGTTTAACGGCCACTTTCATGTGATCAAACAACAACTATTATCAGCTATTCTTCTCGCTGGTCCTGGCGTGTTTATTTCCACTGGAGTTATCGCCATATGTGGAATCTATATNCCTGTGTTTGAAACTTCTTCAGAGGTTGAAACAAAAAAGCGAAGCGTATTGGTCAGATCTGCTCTACCAATGAGTTGTTTCAGTATACATAGCGCTAAACAATAGTTGAATAAAAAGATTCACTGTACAGCGCCTCCTATACTTATTCAAACGACATAATGACAGAATTGGTTGGTTTCATCACCATTAAAAAAGATCAAATGATTCAGGAATCATATCGGATAGTTTTTCTGTTTTTTGAGAATCAACGACAAACAACGATCATACTAATAATCTGAACACATTTACGATTGAAACAAATATCTGCAAACAGAAAATAAACCGTTTTTTCATTCAATGGTCTCATCGCAACGATCGGTATCATTGTCGTGAAAACGGTCAGATGATTTTCTCTTCGTTTTCTGCCGCTGTACTGATGATAATCTATTCAAACTGTTCAAATGATATCTAATCGAAGTAAAGATACGGTGTACATAACGCGAATTAACGTGTATCCTATCCGGTGCTAAATGGTTGATTTGAATTCCTAGGTCTAATATTTTAAAACCGATTTGACGAGATAGTTGACATAAATGTTCATTAAATGTTTCAATATTTCGAAGCAACGCCTTTTCACTTGAATACTTGCTCGTGACTTTTAAACACGGCATAGTCAAGCAAACTGTGATTCCATTTGATCGATTCAAATTCGAATAAGCGTGCTTGAGGAAAAAAACAACTTCTTCAACTTGAGAAATTATGAGTGATGCTGAAAATATTCGAACAGAATTAGTGCCAACGAAAATGATGATTCCATTTGCTCTCTCTAAACAGAATTGAATTTCACGGGTAAACAATAAATGAAGTAAAGACAAATTCTTGTCGAAACTGTCAATGAATTTCAATCCAGAGATTGATTTTATTGTTAAGCCATATTCTAAACTTGCCATATTTGACTTTATGTATTTACTGTGACTGTCGCCGATAAGTAGATAATTCATTATTTTCTATCAAAGTCGTTTTTTCTTTCGTAATTATCTGCGTAATGAATAGTCCACAGATTTCGTTTCAAAATACGCGCAAATAAGTATTCACAGTTGTTTCTCATCAGTCAAGAAGAATAGATAGACGGCATAAAATTTTGTCACAAAGAAGTTCTCTCTTTATCATTATCAATTATCGTTTCCATTTAGACGAAGAAAAAATCAGTAAGATTAAATTCTCACAAAAGAACTTTCTTGATTTAACATAAGGTTTGTTTCGTGCAAAAATTGAGTCCGCATTCAATTAATCGTAATGCTTAAAAACAGAACTAAACTAGAAAAGACAACTTTTATGTTTTGCATTGTTTTTTCCTACACAACGAAGAACAACACAAGTGATGGACTCAAATTCATACAACAATTTGGATTGCTCTTTAAATCAGCATTATTCGAGTCAGGACTCGATTTTAGATGAAATTGATCACGATATATGAACAGTATACACAAAGTCATACTTAAAACAGGTCTTCGTCCTTGTTTCTAAGATTAAACATAGCCTTATAAAACAAAGATGTATCTTTACGCGCTTGGAATCCGATTTATGCATCAAATCATTTTATCAGTGCTGATGAAATCAATCTTTTGTTATTAATTAATAATTCAAAATTGCAATCTCAGCAATTTTCTAATCAAAATACATTAATTTTTAGCGCGAGCTTATTGTTTCGTTTCAATCAATTTTCTTTTCGCCTCTCTTTTTTCTCTCTTCGCACCTTCGTACTCATCTCAAAGATTGTCTCATGAAACGCAAAGCAAACAACAATGACAGTGTCACTATTAACAATAATGATATGACGATCGAAGGTATACCAGTGGCCGTCACCAATATGACACAGAGCGACAACAATGTTCGATCGACCCACTGGTCCACTCTCATCTGTGATGCGAATCAGACTCTTGTCAGAATAACCAAATTTGTTTCCTCAAACACACGCTGTACTCTCCATCAAAAAATCATTGATCATATGAATAACCAGACTGGTGTATCTATTAGTAAAGTGAAACAAACATCAGACGACGCATATATCGCCAATCATCAAACAATTGCAACTCCAAAATCTTTATCATTCTCTCCGAAATCTCTGCAAATTATTTCCATAGAAGAAATACAAAAACTCGAAGACGAACAGTATGTGTCATTCAATTGCAAGATACTCGACGTTGGAGAAGTAAAAATATGAAAATATTTTGCTATTATAAGTATTCGTAAAATTTAGGAAGAGAAAATTTCATTCTACAACAACTCAAAGAAAACCGAGAAAACGAAACTAACAGCAACAGCGGGTGACGAAACACAGTGTATAAAAATCAACCTTTGGGAAGGTCACTTGAACAAGATCAAGAAAAACCAGTGTTACAAAGTCAAATTGATGAAAACGAAGACGTTCAACAATGAAATATCGCTAACTACAACGGTGTATACAACGTAAATTTTTTAATTGTAAATAATGATCTCGTAGTCACTCTGTTTCTCTCGTTACAGTTTTGAAGAAATTAAAGATTTAGGACCTATTGAGTGTACTGATCTCCCATCGATTTCAAACAACTTAACAATCAGTGGCTTCATTACTTCAATAGGATTTTCTGAAACGAATCTCACCTGCCCCAAATGCTTTTCGAATCAAGTAGAAACTACTGAAAAGACAATCAAATGTTTGACCTGCAAAACACGGTCAATACTTTCCAAACAAGATGACGATCACAAGAAAATCAAAACTACAATTTCGACGGAAAGTAGACAATCGTTCGATCTTATAACCGAGTTAAGCAAAATCAAAGTTTTATTAGAACAATTGGATCATTCGGAACTATGCCAACGAGATTTGGTTGAAGATGAAGAAGTCATCATTATCCTGACTTCCAATCCTGTCTCGGTCAATTTCAACGTACGAACGAACAACATTATCAACATGGAGATCTATCAGGCTAATGAAGGATAAAAAACGTATTGAAAATATTTGAAGAAATAACTCCTCCTTTGAGAGCTCTGCCGAACAACATTAAAAAGTTCTTCTTAACATAATCTAACATCGATCAAATAATGTTTCTGAGCTCAGACATCTTCATAACAATTTCAGTCTAAATAATCGGAAACGCCCCTGATATAAAATACCTACTCGGTTATCCACTTTCTTTCTCTACTGAATATAATTTGTAGTTTACTGATTTGAAGAAATGATTCAAATATCTACATATATTCACCTCATCTAAATAATAAGTAACTAATCGTTCACGTTTCATAAAACACAAAAAATTTAAGAGATCTGTCTTCCATAGACATGAATTTAAACAATATATCNTACAACTCATTCACAAGCAAAGCTGAATACAACAATCCACCTCTCTACCTTCTCAACCGTATTACCACAACAATACCGCAAGTCTCATCGTGTTTCACATTTTTATCCCGTAAGGGATTGCGCTGAAAGCTTTTAGTCAAAAGCATGCTTCCTTATATTCGTAAACGTGCTGAAGTCGTAGGAACTAGCCACATCGCCTAATTTTGCTTATTTTTCGAGTTTGAATTAAATTAAAGATGGCGCTATGAAAAATAATCATTAGTCGTGTTCGAACCTATACTGATCAGTTTTGAAAACTTTTCTAAAACATGTTCTAACATATTTTAAATCAATTTTTTCAGTGAAAATAAAGGTGTCAAACAGAAAATCTATTCTAACCGATGGTTTTAATCAAAAATTGACAACAGTTTTAGTATTTGGTTCATTTTACGTCTTTTATTATTGACATAGCTTCTACTCTTTCCATATTTTTTCACTATGAATAAAACTGTTCGTCTGTCACTACATGAAAAAATTGAAATCATCAAATGGTACGCCATTCATGAAAATGTCGCTGAAGTTGCTTCTCGTTAATTTCAAAATCGTTTCGATCGAACTCCTCCGACATCGAAGAACATATTGAACAGTTTTTATAATAAGAACACTACAAAGATAAACTTTCGTACATGTTTTGTTTTCCAAGTGAGAACTTCTAATAAAAATTTTGTTGTTATTCACTCTGTATTTGTATGTTCTAGGATAAATTACTATATCTAAGTATCGTTCACATGCCTGATCTTTTACTCATCACACTTAACCGACAATCTATTATATAAAAAACAAAGAAAAGAAAATCAGTTTTCCTCACTTTTAGAACACCCTGTATAGAAATGATGGTGAAATAACAAATGATGCTGTTCCATCTTTTGTTAAATCAAAATATAATTGTCATGCAACAATTCAAGTTTATCTTGAAACAGGAATATCTTCGAAAAAGATTCTTATTCGTTTACCTTTGTTTGAATATCGTTCTAAAGGTTTGTTAATGAAAAGTTTATTTTAAAAATGAAAATTCTTGATATTTAGAAATTAACAACACAGTTCGAAATCGATTTTCACAAATAGAATCAACTAAACTATCACATCAAACAGAAGAAGATGATATATTTGTTTAATCCATCAACTGGTCTTTGGATTAGTTACAATGATTTAGAAATAATCAATTTAAAGAATAATTATATCAAACAAAATCGATTAGGTAGAGCATTTTTTTGGAATTTTTTGTTAGATCGACAAGATGAATTTATCCGTGCAACATTTAACTCATTGTATCAAGATATTCATTCATCAACAGCAAATTGTTCATTATTAATTTCTACTTCAATCAATTTGTGGATAGTACAAAATCAATATAAAGTTAATCAACGTGTAATGTACCAAAATAAAAGTTATCGTTGTATTAAAACTCATCAATCAACACTCAAAGAAACATCAGATGTCTATAGTTCATTGTGGCAACTTGAGACTACAACAATAATAATAACCACAATGAAAAAAATGAATGAATTTACTTAATTATCTAAACAAGATGATATTTCTGAATGGAAATCATATAAATTATATTCAGTAAGTGATCAAGGAATAACACATGGATGTCAACAATTGCATACATCTTTACCGAATTGAAGGCCACCTTTTGAACAGGAATTATGGCAGAAAGTTTAAATATTGTCCATATGTTTCATTGAGAAGTAAAATAAATATATGTAATAAGAGAAAGATTTATTAAGGGCGCAAGTGACGGTAAGAAAATACGTCCGCACCCTCATTCTCACCCGCGGAACCCTTTTCACTGTACCGAACTAGTAAACCTTTAAAGTTCAGCTATGTACCCTTTTTTTAGAGTGGGATTGAATAAGACTATCAATATCCTTCATATCAGTACGTGTCAAGCTCGATGTTGATGATGCTTGTCGAAGGATAAATGAATAGTCAATATCCAGTGAGAATTAAACATGAAAGAATAAAACTACGTTTGACTAACGTAGGAGTAGTTCGGTTACGAACAGAGACATCTGGTAAGATTTAGAAAGATGTAGCAAGGTACCATATTGCGCCTAACAGATACATTCTTTTTCTTCGTCTTTTAATCACCCCTCACACCTACCCTCAAATACGTGATTTATGTCTTTTCTTTAAACTTTCCATAATTTTAGTTCGTGAAGTATTAGATCGAATATTTTCATTGATTGAGAATCTATAATGAGAACAGAAATTGAAAAAAAAAATTTTCCTATCATTGATAATTCTATAAAAATTATGTAAATCAGGTTGCGCTATAAAATTTTAGTTGAATATTTTATTTTACAAATTTGATTTAGATCATATGATAAATATTACTTGATATTTGACAATAAAACATGTCAAGTCTGTCCAAATGGTTTAGCAAATCTATGAATTTAACTGATTATTTCCCTCGTGATCAGTGGCGTAACCAGGATTTTTAGACCAACGGGCAAACTTTACTTAGGTCGAAAAGAAGTAGTGGGCAAAACGGGCAAGCTTTTTGTCGATAGGGCAAAACTTTTACACTGATTCAAGTTTCAAAACACGACCACCAACAAAAGTGAAAAATAAGGATCTTTCATTTTTTAGTATAAAAAACAGAAGAAAGTCCAATACGCTGTCTTGTTTCCTTCACTGTAGTGCAGTATAAGAGAATGCAAGACAGGAGTNGATGATGCCAAAAGGTATAATCCGCATCCAACTTTTCGTAAAATTTCATTTTGAAAAGTTAAAATTGAACAAAGACAATTGATGATGCCCGCAACAAACATAATGATTATTACAGCAGCACTCATCTTAATACTAAATGGCTGATCTTTTATTGTCTTATCTTGTTTCACTACAACTCGTAAAATAGCATCAAGAGTTACACCAATACTTTTAACTTGAGGATTACATGGATCACCAATATAACAATCAGTTGAATCATCATCTAAAAAAATTATTTATTATCGTAACATATGAAGAAAGTGGAGTCTTGTTTTGTTTCTTTTAGTTTCTATAAATTGATAAAGTTTTATCTATACTTACTCAAGCGTTCAAAAGTGAAATTCTCTGAACCATATATCTGGATTGAATAGTTCATTGGCGTCTGTGGTCTAAAAGTTGTTATAACTAATATGTACATTGTATTAGCTTGAATATGAGCTGAGAATTGATTGCAAGCTGTATACGAATGTTCAAGACATTTGGTTAAAGCCAAATTTTCATGCCAATGCAATGGATCGAATTGATTTTTATACATATCTACGACAATTGTTTTATTTGGACCAATTAAAAAATAATAATATCCGTTTTTAGATGTTGTTATTCGAATAGTTTCATAATAATATTGCGAGCTGGTGCAATCTTTAGCATATGTTTGACTGTGTGCTGTTAAGCTTGATGAGTATTCAAAACCAACAACCGGCGAAGGATCTATTCGAAAGAGTATCCAATCAGAAGTTGTAAAAGTGATAATCTTCTATCTTTATACTATTGCTTAGGAATATCATATAGATTATACTTACCAACACGTTCTAAACCAACAGTACTTCTACCAAATACCTCTACTTTGAAATCTGTTATGGCAATGTCATCAAGTACTGCTACAACCAATACATACTGGATATTAGCCATAAGTCGAACGGTAACTGTATCATGGTTACTATTGCAACGTTTTTCTTCTTCTGAAATTAAATTTCCCATTGGAATACGAGGATAAAAAACACGTTCATATATATAACTGGATATAGTTGTTAAAGGTAGGGTATCATTTCTAATGGATAAAAAAGTGTAGAAACCATTCTCAGTCACGTTCACTTGTATTGCTTCATAGCGTACCATCGTCCAAAGTTCGACACAAAGCTTACGAGCATTTGTTGAATGATTTTTTGTCAATGTAGATCTGTATGTTGATTGGATAACTCGTTCAACGTCTATTCAACACAAAAATAAAATAAAACTAAAGAAATAGAAATAATCCTTTAGTTTCATTTCTATCTAATTATCATGAGTTTTATTTTCAGAGAATGTATAAATATATATAATGATTCTAATTCTCAAAAAACAATTTTATCTTATATGTAATGATTTTTAATAAACATACTTTTACTTAATTTTCGAAAGGATAGTTATTTTAAGAATATCTGTATGTTAGGCCATTGTCATAACTATATCTTCTGTATAATACTCCTTATCTCACATATTTGTCTTCAAGAAACATACTAATAAAAAAACATATATTTAAGTGTCAAGGGTAATACTATCTATAAATCTGATTTCTTTTTTTAATTAGAAAATAAACTTTCATTAATCTTATAGAATTATATTACTCACTCATGCGTTGAAGATGAACTATATTTGAACCAAATATGATGATTGAGAATGGACCTGTTACATTTCGATAATATGTCGTCACTACTAATATATATGCAGTGTTCATTTGAAGTTCAACGGTAAATTTAAATTGATCTTTACTAACGGGTTTACCATACCATGCAATTAAATTTGTTAAAAGATCAAATCGAGAAAAATGATCTTTATACATAAAACCATAGAGTCCAATGCTACTGTTACCAGTCAGAATATAAAAGTCACTTTTACTCACATTGACCTGTATGGCTTCATAATAATAAGCTAGAGAAGAATTATATAATTCACGTGAGAACATTTCGTGATGGTATGTTAAGGTAGATGAATACATTGCTTGAATTGTAGATGGAACATTTCCTAAATAAACAAAAATGTGGGTAATAATTCGTCTTTATTATTACAAGTAGCGCTCGTCGTGCCGACTCACTTAACCCTCGACTGTGGAAGACACATATGTTTTTCGTGTCCCAGGTGTGAGACAAATTAATCTCACAACTTTATATAGTAGACAACAATTGAAATGTTATTACGTAGATGTATTTATGAACTTTCGAGAACAAACCATCCAATTTTTTGAGAATCAATGGGGGTAAAATGTATTTTTAATTGAGAGCTAACAAAATATTATAGGTAGTAAGAGGCACATGCAAAATTTGGTACATTTGTCGATTGCAGAAGCGTTATTTCTTTGCAAAGTTTTTATAAGTTTAATACATTCAACCAGACAAATCAATATCACATGTGCTAAAGGCTAGTTTAGGCCCTGTCACTCTTGGTATATGGATTTTCTTCGTTTGGCGCTTTTAGTTACGATCCCCTGAGAAATTTTTCGTCATTCTTTTATGATTAGTAAGATCATTGACAGTTCCATCGAACTTGCAAAATAGTGCCATTTCGAACCACATATCAATTGCGAAACAACTTTAGTAACTCAGCACCAACTCCAGTAAAAATCGTCAACTCAGAAACTGGAGTTGTCAATCAGTGATCCCATCCAACCGACCTTCTATTATCCACCATCCGAATCCACATCCCTTGAATAAATCATGTCACTATACAATCTATACTTTACCACACAAGCGCCACATCCTCACTGTCACCTCATCCACAGTGAAAACTTCCATCGATCTTCATACACCTACCCCGGATTGCACTCAGCATCCTGACCCATGCCCATACACCCACACATAGTGTCACCGAACATCCCCCGCCTATACCCACACCATCACCCACACCATCACCAACATATGATGCTCCCTACAGTCGACCGAACTACAGCGTCAGCATCTAACCATCCAACTCGATTACAGACTACGCACTTGCTATTTCATCCGTCTCCACATATCTACCTCACATTCACTCACATCTTTATCGTAATTACTGCTTTCGTCCATGATCTCTAACCCAATCAAACAATCGCGCTTACATATGATTTAATTACAGCATTTACTGATGTTTCTTAACCTTGGATCCACCACCCTCACCCACACCCCACGTCCACTTCACTTCCCCTGAACCTCACTACCTATCCACCATCAGTTTTTTATGTTTGGACTGGTTCTAGGAAAAAATGTTTTTCTGAACTTTCACCCACCATCACCCACTGCCCATCCCAACCTCAGCCGATCTTACTTGACTTCACCTAATCACAGACCCCAGCATGAGTTTTTTACTTTTTGAATGTTCGACACAGTTCTCGGCACGATTTTTCAAAAATGTTTTTTTCACCTTGACAGAAACGCACAAACAAACTATTTTATGTCATATGACCCTTCTTACAGTCGAGGAAATATGACCTTTCATACTTACTTACATACAATCGAGGGAACATCTGAACAATCTATTTCGAAAAAACTTGAAAAACTGACGGTGTCATTGGATTCCTCGACCCCGTTTACCCTTCGGTCAACCCTTCTTCATCTTCAAAGGTTTCTTAGTTGGAAATATCGAAAAACTGATAGTGCCGTCTGATTACTCGCATAGTGCCCATCATTTTCCAAATTTTGGTTGATTCCCGAAAATATTGTTTTTTTTACCTTGACAGAAACAAACAAACTATTTTATTTCATATGACCCTCCTTACAGTCGAGGGAATATAACATTTACTCTTCTAAATATCAACAATTTGGAAAATTATTCTTGCTGAATACAATAGTAGAATAGAGCAAAAGCTAATAATACAGACTCTCAAAAATAGAGATATAAAAAGCAAAATGTCTATGATTATATGATAAGGTTTTTAATATCGTTGTTTATTCCAATGTTTACAGTGAAGAGTTAACATTTCTTTCTATTCGTTTTTCTTTTTGATTATAATTTCAAAGGTTATTTTATAAATAAATTCAAAGACCACTTTTTGGTATTAAAACGCTTTTCTCTTAGTTTCTGAAAATCTCACTTTCTTTTTGCAGAAAACTTGAACTTTTAATTAACAGTAGGATCTATTTTTTCTTCATTGATGTATTTTATCAAATCCTATGACACTTACCACAAGAGTTGTCTTTTAAAGGAAATTTTCTAACTTCCATGTTGTTTTTATCGGAAACAAATAAGTTTCCATTTACATCAAAATGAAATAATCGTGGGTACATCAGTTGACTAGCTTTTTGTTTTTCGTGATTGCATCCGAGTAAACATCGAAAACCATTTGGTCCTGATCCAATTATGCGATCGTTGCCCAAATCCGTAATATAAAGGAATTTCTCATAATCGAGTGCAACTGAAGTGGGCGTAAACAGTAAAATTGTAATTTCGTATGAATCTGCTCCTGCTACTGTTTTTCCTTTTAGTTCGCCGAATTCAAACAATTGAATTCGATTGTTCAAAGAATCTGCTACATATAAATTTGAATTTGCATCCACAAAGATTCCCTGGGGATCACTGAGCTGAGTCTCTCCCCTACCGCTACTACCTGTACCTGCCACAATTGTCGGATCTGCTTCTTTACTCTTATTTAGTGATTTTTTTACAACTCGATGCGATTCGTACATTGAGCAATATAAATTGTAATTTATATCGATAAAAAGGCAAGCACATCGCGGTTTAATATCCATAAAATGGATAAAGACATTCTGGCTTGCTGTCCATTTAAAAATTCCCTTACGTGTTGTACTAAGATAAATATCACCATTGTTGCTCGCAAATAGAGAACATGGTGTTAACTCGGATTGGAAACTAATCGACGACATCGGACCTGTAGAANTCCTTGATGCACAGTACTAAGATAAATATTACCGTTGTCACTCACATATAGAGAAGTTGGTGTGAACTCCGATTGATAACTAATCACCGATGTTGGACGTGTAGAATCCTTGGACCAAACTAGAATTTCACCTTTCTCCCCAGTATCAGTGTAAATTGTATTGCTTTTATCAATAAATAGAAAGCCCGATGCCTTACGACGATCCGGTTTTCGAACAGCAAACCGAGATCCAACAGTATCCCATTTTGCTGTTGGACAAAGTTTTGGTTCATTAAATGAAAGAACTGCAAGCAAAAGAAAAAAAAGACTTGTGAATAACATCAAAGAGATGTAGAGTTGTTTGATTTTATCTTTTAACTTTTGTTTATTCGTAAATTTGAATTGATTTATGAATATTTTCAAATAAGAAATGATTACCTGATGTCCCATTAATAAGAATGATCACAATTAAAATAAAAACTATATCAGAATGAATATTCATGAACATATATTTCAATTCTTCTAAATAATCAGATGATACTATTTCTACGTCGTTGGAAATGAATGAAATATGTGTTTATTGGATTAAGAAGCCAAATTTCAATACAAATATATGATTTACAACAAAGTCATGAAAATTAAATATGATACATTCAAACATATTTAATATCAAACCATTGATATAAATAAATATTCTCTTTGGTCACGTTTTCTTTTTTATTTCAAATAATCTTAATAAGAAAATATTCTCAAAGAGAATTGGAAAGACTATAGAGATATGTATTTGAAACCATGTTAGACATAAATCAACAAAAATGAACGAAATGCCAAATAATGGTTGATTTATAGATTGCATACAAGAAATTTCTTATAAGATTCATGTAAATAAATGTTCAATTCAAAATAAAAAAAAACATTTCTATTATAATATTTGCTTTATGGTCATTTTCAACGAAGGGATTTTACTAAAAGATTGGAAAGATTTATTTTCTATCAATATTAATACCAAATCAAATATTTATATTCTAGGAATAACAAAGAAATTTTCGTTTGGTTTTTAATATATAAAATAATTTATAATTATCATGAACAAATAATAAATTATCTTCTCTTCTTATTCTATATATAATAAATAATAAAGAGAAAACATTCATAATTGATAATTGTGACGTAAAAATGAATCAATTTCAGTATTTTTGCACTCATGAAAATCTTTATTATCAGATTAGAAAATCTCATTCATGTTGTATTTTACTTCAAATATCAAATTTGATAATTTAGATGAATTACAGAATAAACAATCGATTCATATTTATTTATCTGAACTTTCATGATTTATGTTATTCACTTTCAATACTTAATTCACAAATTTAACTTTTTCGAGGCGATCTGTTTATTTCTAGAAAATAGTCTGAATGTTGTAGTTTTAATGTATGTTTTCTCTCTATAAATATATCTCTTGGGTTATTTAACATATATAACCATCTATTTCTCTTTTTCTTCTTTTTTCACCAATGTATATAGAATTTCCTTTTTCGTTTCATTGAAAAGCTATTCAAGTTTACTTTATTCACATCTAGATTATGCAGTGAGAACGAGAGAAAACGAAAATACGCTGATCATTTGCTCGAAGGAATGGAAGGATCTGCATCCAATATCCTAAGAAGATGTGTCGCTTGCTATGAGAAGACTAGACAACAGCAATCAAGACAAGCAAGTGCAAAAGCAGCAAAGAAAGTAAAAACTTCTGTTTTGGCTGTGTCGATTGTTTTAATGAAAAGCATTTCTCTTCGTAATAAAATAAATCAGTTGGTGATATACACAGAGTAAATATAGAATTAACTGCCACTTTCTCTTCAGAAAAATAAACGGAAGAATCTATTTTGTAAGTCATTTTCTTGTTAAAATATATAGCGTGAGCCACCGGCCACTCACATCGCCTCGAAAGGGTTAAAATTTAAGAAAAAAAAGGGTTTTTTCTACTTTTTATTAATAAAACATATGAATAATCTTATTGCATTTATCAATGATATTTAATAACTCTTAGAGAAATTCTTCGACCTTAATTTTTTTAAAGTTAAGGAAATACCTCAAATCTTTTAATTTTTGGTACACGAACAAAAGTAATGATTATTGTTGCCAATTTCTGATGAAGAATATGTAAGCT